GTACAACTAAAATACTCCTATAATAAGTTAATATGATTCTTTCTCATTATTAATCATTGACCTTTTAATTCTGACAAGAGCTATTATAATAATTCTTTGTGTGGAAGAACAAATCTGAATAAGGTTCTTCTGGATGATAGTTGTTTCTAAAGGTTGATCTGTTTATAAAACCTTTCTTTTAATGTTAACACCATAGGACCTTTATCGACTTAACACGGAATTTTTAAAAAATTATAACACAAATATCAAAAACATTTTCAGAGGCATTGAATAGACGACGAGAGCTGTTGACATCTATCTTTCATCAATAGATGTGAAATGTATTCCGCAGTGTTTGCTGCTGTTTTACAGAGTTTAGAACCTTTACTTTGGTTCTTAGTCAATCAGGGGAAACTCGTAGATACCAATTGTCAGTATTTGTAAAATACACAGCTAGGTACTTGGCAAAATTTATCACAATCCACGGAAGTAAACTTGCAATTGTTTGACCGATCAATAGGGTATACTTAATCACCCAATGCACCTGATCAAACGCTGATATTTTAGAGGTTTAATTGGGTTTTGCTTCACTCCTGATTTGTATTATTTGAATGGACACTTGATGTTGAGTACTTTTTGATACTTCAATATTTCACCTTTTTTTCATTAAAGGGTCTTTTGAACATCCGTGGCTGAAATGTAAATAAGATACCATTTTTTCCTGTATACTGTCTTATGCATAAAGCAGTCAAACATCTCATGGCTTGTTTAAGCTAACCATGAAAACAGTAAACAACATAAATTGAGAAGTACTGTCGATATCTCTCCTAAATGTATTAATTAAAGACTTTAAGAACGTTTAAAGTAAATTTTGGTTTGAGAATTAATTTGCTGAATTTTACCAATTGATTAAAGAATTACACTTACAAAACTAGAAACATTTTTATCATCATTAACCGTTGAGTCAGGTAGTATCTGCATGTAAAAAAACACATGGTAAAAAGAAGTATAATTTATTTGCAATTCAAACTTATTTGTCAAAAACGGTAGTTTTGAATGAATTGAGAAGAGCCGAGAAAAAGTTCAAAATTGTAAACAAGGAAAAGAAAGAACTTAATCTTCCGACCCGTCAATTTGCCACAGTGTATAAATAATTCATTGGTTCGTGTGCGGTACTCACATCGTGGATTTTGACGTCGGCATGAATGAAGACACCTACATTACAAGCTTTATTTTGAACATATGCCAGCAAATCTCTTCAATACATGTACTTTTATTGGAGCTATGCACTGATCGTTAATGAAAGTGAATCTGATCAGCTTGTCATATTGTTATCACTCATGTTTTAAATCTTCCAAAAACATTCTGAAGGTAGATGTTATACCGGCTTCTAGAATACAAAATAGGAATTCATTTGAAGCATGTTTTGTTATGGTGCATCTGGAATTGACAAATTAACACTATCAATTAGAAGGCATTGCCCTATGTTGTTTTATAGATTAAATTCACAGAGAATTAATCATTCTTGACTCGTTGAATTCTAAATGCATATTCATGACTAGAATTAAACTCTTTGTACCTTACAATAAAGTACATACATGCTATTTATTATCTGTCAAGTAAAGCTAATATGGTTGATAAACCACAGAAAGAGGAAAACAAGGCTGACTCAAGATATTTGAATAGTTCACAACCAAAGCTGCATAAAATACTTGAAAACTAAAATATATATAATTCTTTATCTTTCCCCGTCTCTGTTTTTTACCCGACACAAACAATCCTTGTGTAGTTCTGAAAAAAATGACTCAGAGATAAAACACAAAGTCCTTGCTTTTTTTCCCTTTAATGAGAAACACAGAAATAAATCGGGACTTTTTGGTCGATATTTGAGCATGGAAACTTATTTTAACATTTCTTTATCAAACATAAGTGTACTGATGCGTTTTCAGAACAAACCAAGTTAAGGTACAGTTTGTTAGACCCAAACTTGGGTATCTTCTCACCACACGGGGTATTCTTTAGGGGGTGACGTTTCTTTAGTTAATTGTGCTAACGGCAACTGTGACAAGATACCTCGGTTTTGATATCTCATCTAAAAGATCCTTGCTTTTACTTAAGATGCGCACTTGGCGAAGGAACCAACATTTTACATTTTAGGGTTGACATAGCGCGAAGAACATTATAAACTGTCACTGCAAATGCGATAGGCGTGCCCGCTCCGTTTTTCTTATGAGCCCTATAAAAATGAAATCATTAAAGTGTTAAATGGAATATGAAGATAATGAATCGTAATCAATCGCAAAACTCTTCATACATAACAGTGGGAATCAGGTGCCATGACGGAGTAAGCATCCTCTGACGAACGACCAAACGCGCCGTGTGCTCTTTGTCCTCGGACCGAACATCCGTAGACAGTTCATTTTGAAAAAAAAGGCAAACGGTTTGTTTGGAAAACTCCAGTCAATATTTGACCTAACAATATATTGTTTTAGCTGCCAATATCATTATATTAACGATAGAATTTGCAAAATATTGATTTTAAGTTTTAACCGTCTACAGATAATACAAGTACAAGTATATTCGACTGTCTATCCATTTTATCAATCTGAACAACACATAAGAGTCCTGGAGAATGTGACAGGTCGCTAAGAGATTCCCAATACCCAGGACGCCTGATCCTAGCTCTGGAGGTTCCAAAGGTCCATGTTTTGTTCAATATATGCAGGCAATTTTTGCACATATTATCCACATATGTGTATCATATGTGAATCATATGATTTGTTTCACATGAGAATCATAAAAAAGTGAATCATATGTGAATCATATTAGGCAAATCGTATGATCCACATATGATCCTCATATGAAAGGCAACGTATACGTGCATGGGTCACAATTGGGGAGATTGCCTATGTACCTTGTTCACGTATTTGTGTTTGTTGGGTCGTTAAAAAATCAATATATGTGCATGTATATGTAAGAAACATCAAGTCGTTAACGTTTCATATTTCTCTTGTTCAAAGTAATGTTAAATAAAGCCAATGGCATTTTTACAAAAAGGCCTTATTCAACAAAATAATACGAAAAGTACTATTAATAAGAACTGGATGCTTTCTCTCTTTTTTCTTTGGGGGGGTGTTATCATTTTTGTCTTTTTAAATTCTGAAATTCTGCCATATATAACCTTTAATCGTTTTAAATTTTAAGATTTATTTAACGACAATTCAGCATTTGGTTGATGTACGCGTAGGTTAGAGCGCAGTTTGCCCGATAGTCGCGGACATATCCCTACGTCGCAGGTGTTGTCCTACTTAGACAGTGTGGTTGGCCCTTCAGAAAGATCTGTATAAACCGAGATCCATGTTTGAGTAGATTCAGGCTATGCCTGCTTAAGGTGCCGAGTGCAGGTGTAAATTTGAGCACTTACCGGCTAGTGTAGATAAAACAAAAGTATAAATTTGTATATCGTGAATGAAAACAAAATCTGTTTAATAAACTCAATGATGCAAAACAAATCTAATTTTCATTTTTTACGCAGTGCGGTTAGGGTTCTCAGAAAGAAAACCCATCAAAACAAAATAATTATGTACAATATGCATCATTCTTTTGGATAGGTTCCTACAAAGGCATACCTTTGCAATTTGCTACAAATAAATAGGAATATTCAATTACCTAGATTGATAATTCTCGACTTTAAATCTCCACTGTCGGTTTGGAGAAGTTACATATGTTGTTACGATGTAGTAAATTGACGGTTGTGTGTATTTGCCATTCACCGAGCGTTTCCTTATTACAGTGATGATATAGTTATCAATCATTGTCCACAGCTTCATCCTAGCATTGCTTCAAGACGGCGTGACGGAGAAACAAAACAGGTAATATTTAACATGTAACAGTTATATTCATGCTACTTCACTTTTTATCTCTTGTCAATTTTTTTTTACTTTTGCCTATATAACCACCAAATAGAGATCTTTAGAATTTGTGTGTCAGCTGTTCATGTACGTTAACTAGAAAGCCATGTTAAAGTGGTAACAAGTACAGCTTCTTGTCTTTTTTTTTTTTTTTTGCTGGAGAATTTCAACATTCAAGATGTTTTTATTATACCATTTTCAATCAAATTAAGATCATGAGATATTTTCAGGTAGTGAATATGATCTTGGGCAACATATAGACATAAAATCTGTTAGCATGAGTGTCAGTCCTTTTGTGGCCCCCTACAGAAAAATATTAATGCTGTGGTCATGTCAATCAAAAGCTACTTAGCGGCAAATAAACATTATATATTTAAAAGAAAACAATTGTTGATTCATTTAAAATATTCTTATGGATGAACAAACATGGGCTGACTTGTAAGTTTTAATTTATTTGTTCCAGAGAATAACTTTTCTTTTTTCAAAAATAAAAAGAATCATGAGAGTTAAAGAGCATTGAAATGGTAAACACTTTTTTTTTTAAAAAGTTATGTATTTTTATTAGAATCTAAAATATTAGGAGTCAGAACTACAGTCTAATTAAAATTTGAAGTTTAAACTATTGTTCGAGAAGAGATAGCGGATTCAGAACATTTATAATTTGAAAAAGATTGGAAAGCAGGAACATCTGCATACGTCTGATCTGATCTTCGGAAATATGCTCAATTGAGAAACCCGTCCCTTATTGCAAAGTCATTTGATTACTATTTACGTTAAAATTAGTGTTATAAACAAAACGACAACCACAGTGAAATTCCGATAATTCATTTAATTTTAGTGAAGATTTGATGTTACTTAAGAATTCAATTTGTTCTGTTTTGACATCTTATTATAAGTAGTCGTTATTAGGGTCAAAAATGAGTCATCAGCCAGAGAGATGTTCCACATGTGCAAAAGATATATGTACATAAATTTACATATCTGATATAATTTACATTTTATTCTATAAATATCACAAGATTAAAGAGGCACACTTAATTTTATACATGTTTTGATTTTGATAGAAATGATAACTATTGTTTTCTGTCTTTTTCAAAACAAGGACAAAGGAAGTCGTTTCACGGAGGCTGGTATATGTGCTTTTACGTGGATAACAAAATGGAAAAGGATCTTCTACAAGTTTATTATCACACGTTTATAACACATAGAAGGTCAAATCAAACATTTTGTGCATCATAGTCGCTTGAGGAGTACAAATCAATCAGTTCGATTCTTCAAAATGACGAGATTCTTTTGGAAAATTATTTGCTTCCTGTGTTTTTTTCATCGAGCAAGTTTGCAAATGATTTCAAAATGTGGAATTCCAAAATGCAGATATAACCTTAGAACAAAATCTGAATATCCTTATTTCCAAAATGGAGTCCCAATGAAAGCTATAACAACGGGTCTTGGTATCCATTGGTCTAATAAAGACGATCAGTACAATTATAGAAAGTGCTACATCGATACGGCCAGTGTGCTGGATAAATTTCAGTTTGATGAAAATCCACTCTATGCTGTTCTTATTCTAAGGTGTAACAGAGAGGTTGAAGTGTTTTTTACTGCGGATGACAGACCTTACTTACCAAATGTAATCGGATATATACAAATAAGTTCATGCCTTATCACTCAGGAACAACTGCGTCCCTTCGGAGACAGATTTCGAATGCATTTTGTTAATATGCTATTTAACTACCCTCCGCTGCAACCTGAATATTGTAAAGGAAACCCCTTAAATCAAAGTTACTGTGGGATATGGAACTCGATTGATGGTTTCATATGGGAACCACGGTTGTCGAGAGAAGAAGGCTCTGTAGCACCATTTATTGATATATTTAATTGTGATGTTACATTTCCCTCCATGAGAGAAATACAGCTAACGAAGGTTCCTATGAAACAATATTTACCAACATTACCTAGTCTGTTCCCAAGATTACAAATGCTTAATATTATTAACTCAGATTTGACAGAACCTCCAGACTTCCCATGGAACGATGAATGGTTGTCAATTAGTTACAATTTGTCAAGGACGAATTCTCATCATTATCAGTTTGCTGAACAGTACAACATAGATATGCCAAAAAATTATTTTAGGAAATCAATGCAACTGAGTAAGAATAATATTTCTGACCTCATGACACATAATTTCAAAGGTTTTTTGATATCACTTGATTTATCAGAGAATGGACTCAAAGCATTTGGGGAATTTACATTCCGAAACATTCGAGGACTTCAGCATCTCGATTTGAGCAGAAATAATTTGCTATCCATCCCAAGGAATGCTTTTAAGAATCTGACAGAGTTGCGCCATCTGGATGCAAAAGATAATATGATAACTCACCTTTCAAGTACCTTGTTATCGGATAATAAAGCTTTGCGGTATATAGATTTTTCGAAAAACAGGATAAAAAGAATTGAATCGAACACATTTTCCCATTTACAATATCTTAGAGAACTTCATTTAGAATACAATGAAATTACAACTTTACACGAACAATGTTTTCCAAGTCAGTCACTTGAATTTAAGAAACTTTTTCTCGACAGCAACAGTTTTTCTGAAGTCCCAACAGCTGTATTTTATTTAAATTCTTTGGATAAAATTAGCATGACAAACTCAAGCATAAGATTTACAAACTTCACTCGAACACTGTTAGACCTTAAATGGCTGAGAACACAACAGGATGGTAAAGAAATAGGCTCTCAAGATAATACAAACTCTGACAAGACCCAGCAAGTTGATATTCATAAAGCAGTTTTAGACCTCACTAATAACAAAATTGACAACCTCTATCTACCTTCCTATGATTTAAACGATGTAAATGAGAAAGAAACACAGCTTCTTCACAATATTCTCCTGCTGATCTTCCAAAAGTTTCACTTTCTGCTGGATAATAATCCACTCCGTTGTGATTGTGGTATAAACCAAATAACCAAAGTTGTGAAATATTTCTTACAGGAGAAACTGATTGGACCGGATACATATTTCAACACGTGGAAATGTTTCTGGCCAACTGAATTTCAAAATCGTCCACTTTTAGAAATAAAAGAGAAAGACACATATTGTGAGAAAAACATGTCCTTCTGCCCGGCAAATTGTACTTGCTTCGAAAGATCGATAAGCAAAATAAATATTATAGATTGCCGGGATCATGGATACCGTGAATTACCGAAATATTTACCATCTGGTATTTTAGATCTTTGGTTTGATAAAAACAATATAACCACATTAAATGATAAGGAATATATGGACCGAATTAGAGCACTAAAGCTATCCCGTAACAACATTGCACGCATTGAAGCTGGTGTCTTCAGACAAATGAAAAACATTCAAGAACTCTATTTAAATTCTAACTTTCTTGTTTCTTTACCAGCTGAGATTCAGATTTATTTCTCAGGATCTATTTACCTCGAAGATAATCCTTTCAAATGTGATTGTCATACGGCCTGGTTAAAACACTGGATGAACCAGCATTCAAACATCGTTGTAGACTCCCAAAAAGTAACATGTAATGTTGACGAAGAAAATAGGGAAGGACAGAAATTGATTTTTGTACCAGACACTGACTTTATCTGTTTGGAGGACTTTGATACCCACAATAAAGTCCTAATTCCTACAGTCGTCTGCTCCGTTCTGCTTGTACTTCTGATAGTAATTGTGTCTGTTGTATACATCTATAGACTGGAGGTTAAAGTACTGCTGTACGTATATCTTGGATTCCATCCTTTCGATCAAGACAAAGATTGTAAAGAAGTTATTGACGTGTTGGTCGTACATTCTCCCAATATAACGGACTGGGTCACGGAAAATATTGTTGAGCATTTAGAGTTCTGTAACTCACGTTATTTGGTTTGTGAAATGATGAGAGATTTCGTTGCTGGGTTTTCATATCAAGAAAACGTTGCAACATTAGTCAAACATAGTAAAAGAATCGTAATAGTGCTTTCAAAAGATTTTTTGAATGAAGACATACTAAAGATTGCATGGAATGAATCTCAGGAAAAGATAAAAGCTCATAAAGCCAATTATGCTATCGTTGTTTCACATGATGCAAATATTAAAGAAATCCAAATCAAGGAATTGAAGCAATATATAAAAGGCGGACGACACATTGATGCTTCACAAAGCCTCTTTCAGGAAAAACTCTTGTACTGTATGCCACAACTAAAACATGATGAAAATAGGGTAAAAAGCTTGCCTGATTTAAAATATCTCATTCAACATATGTACGGAAGTGATTTTAACAATGCCGAAATGTATGAACGTCATGCATTCGTTTCTTACGGTGAAAGTAAAATGGGTTATGTTATGAACGAATTGAGACCTATATTGGAAGACAATGGGTTTACACTGTGCCTCCCTGATAGAGATTTTATCCCAGGGGCACCGAAGGAAGAAAACGTACTAAAAGCCATCGACAACTGCCTCCATACAATATTTCTTCTGTCTGGAGAACAGTTAGACAATGAGTGGTCAATATTTACGTTCCGGTCTGCGAGTGAAAAGTCAATGCGAGAGAAATGCAACCATTTGATAGTTGTTCTCGGGGAGGACGTTAACCTGGAGACCATGTGTGAAGAGGTCAGAGTGTATGTAAAAACTCATGTTTCTTTACATGTGAAGGAAAAGGGGTTTGTGAAACGGTTACTTAATGCTCTACCAGATATCGAGGATCACGAACTTTATATCAGAAATGATGAAAATAATTTTGTCAATTTTGAGAACCTACATAATGGAGTTAAAAACTGGCAGAATGACAATGCTCCTGAAGTCATTGAAGAGAAAAAGAATGGGTTCGTGAATGATGGGAAACAAAATGGCATACATCATCTATCTGGTATTCACATGAATGGGCTCCATCGGTATGACAACAAAGCATTCCAAGGACACGGGTCTGATGAAAATGTCATTTGAGGACTTAGAAAAAAAGGACAAGAAGATTTAAATCTTTTGGAGAACATTCATGAAAATGTTTTAATGCATTTCATGATAGGGAAACGTACGCTAAACGAAGTTGTGAATGAAAAAATTTAATAGGTGTATTTTAAGCCACTAGGAGAGTTTAAATGTGGATTTGTTTCATACATAATCAGTTGAGGTTGTATTATTTTTTATTTATTTATTATATTATATACAAGAAACTGTAGCATTTTGTAAAATATTTTTGTTTCCTCCTCACTCTTTCATGTTTCAGTTTCTGTTTCTTTTTGATTAGCGTCATCAAGTCAGAAATATCATCAACGATATGAACAGACACTCATTGTAACCTTCTTTTCTTTAATTACAATGCAAAGGTAGAAAAAAAATTACCTTATAATGTATTACTTTTTGTTGATTGAATGTTAATTTTTTCAGGTGTTGGTTTGTATGTATATTTGTATTTTTACTGATTTCTATATCTACCTCTTCTTTCAAAAGCTTTACGAACTTTACCAAACACGTTTACCTCCGTTGTTGATAAATTATTCCAAGATTTATTCTGTTGCTTTCTTACAATCTTTATTGTGTAATAATCTTTAATAAACATGGTTTCAAACTGTACAGTCTAATTTCGTCAAATTTGTTCTTAAAATAATTTTTCACACAACAAAAGGTGCAAAATGTATTTTTTCATACTTGTGTTCACGATTTGTGTTAACCATGGACTGTATAATGTATCAAAACTACCAATGTTCTAATCATTATTATTTAGGTCTTGATTAAAACGTTTGTAACCCGAAAAGTCTACCAGCAAGCCTAAGTAGTTATCAATAAATTCAAAAATATACCCTTTTAAAAGATAATTCAAACCACTTCTCAGCATAGATTAAAGACCATGCTTTTTGAAAGCAGAGATAACTCTTCTTCAATAGAAATATGTCATAATTTTATCATTCTAGCGATTGATCATCAACAAAAATACTTTGTTGAAGTCCACCCTGATTGTGAAAACAGGTACCTGTACTCTGAGTTTGATATAAAAAGGATGTTACCGTTCTGTATGGATAATATTTAGGTAGTCTTCGGAGAACCAGTTTTCCAACAAACTAGAGGAATTCCAATGGACACTCTAAGTGCTCCTTTTATTAGCTATTTTTTTTTTTTGATTTATCAAATGAAGTATTAAATAAAAAATATCACATTTGAAAAAAACACACTCTTATTCTAACTTCAACTAGACAGTTAAATATATATGATGTCTTCTCATTTAACATTACTTATTTTCATTTAGATGTCGATTTGAAATAGATGATTTGAAGTTGAAACAGATGACACCACAGAGTCTGACATTTCTGTTTCATATTGTTATTGTGACCTAGTTAGAATTAACCTATCATTAGCTCGTTTTTTGGCTGACAGCTATCTAACAAGTTATTGGCTCTTCATTTATATACTGACTTTAACAACGACCTTTTCATTGTAACGTATGAATCCAAATGGCTCAAGGCCGTTGTCTTCGGTCGACAGGGCATACTTACTCCTCCAAGGCATCCAATCCTACCATTTGAAATTTCAAAGTTTATTATTTATGCCCTCATTTTTTGGGGTTTATAGATCCTTTTATATCGATTACTGTTAATAATATTTACCATTTTCTTTCACAAAGGTTTTGTCGATGAAAGAAAATTTGACCCCAGTCATAATCACTTTTAATTTCATGCTCAGTAAATTAAAAAAAAGTATAACGGTAAACTCCTTATCACTTTTTATTGCTGCCGCTTATATTTGACAAATTAATTTATTTTTCAAGAGTGTATTCTATCTTCTTGGTATTTGCTATGTCCGCCTAAACATTAATCATTTTTGAGATCTCTAATTCTATACATATTCATGGATTGAATTATAAACATCGCACCTTAAAATAAAAGTACAAATAAGATATTTACTTAAAACGAGTTTTTATTCATGAATATTTATTATGACAGAGAGATCACCTGTGAAAAAAAATTTGATATTATATAAATTGACCCTGAGTTTTCAATAGCCAAATATAATTGTGGAAAAAGAAAATGTTGTCTACATGGTTATTGCATAAGAAATAAGTAGTTAGACTGTTCAAACTAAATAGTTGACAATTCCTGCTATGACGCAGCGATAAAAGCGCTGCATTCAACTCTAGGGAAAGGAGTCAATTCTTACACAACAGGTTCGAAATCCACACGTGGAGACCAAATCTTCGGTTGGGACCATGTCCGTGACGTACTCTGTCAGACGCTGACAAGATCGAGGAAAATTTCTCGATGGATGTATCTAAATTTGCAGCCATCCGCTGTCAAGTGGTGGGCTCTAAGTACGAGTGAAAATTTTCGGACTTGAAATAATAGATTCCCATTAGTAATCAAACTCAGAAGTCAATAGAAACATTGGGAGCGGATCAAACACGAACCCCTTAAACATTTGCAGCACAGTTAAGGCTAAAATAAGGGGACGGGGCCTAATTTTAATTCATATTCTCTCCGTATATTCACAAGACAAATGATACTGTCTCATATTTGTATGCAGATTTTTTCGATAAGTAAAAGAAGGGTCCAAATAAATCAATTTTTTGCGAGGACATACCCTCAACGTATATCATGCCAAGATTTTACACAAAAGCTCAAGAAGCATTCAGGTATTTTAAAAGGCTTTACACATGGTAGGCCTAATTAAAAAGTAGAATCTATATTATTTCGCAACACTTTTCACGAAGTACATATATAGTGTTGAAAAGAATTTTTTTGAATTTTCTTTTTAAAATTGGACAAACCTCTAAAATAATAATCTTCTTACAGGAATGTGAAAGATTGAATATGCACTTTTTTTCCTAATCAGTGCAATACTTTTTTCCTTTTATAATTGTATAATGTTTATAATGAATAAATAAAAAAAAAATATGTATGCATATCGTCTACTTTCCTTTTTCAGGATTTAAATACATTTTTTATGTTTTGAGCCCCTGACTCTATTTTGAAGATTTACTTTCCATCTAGAGAGTACTGAGAAACGTTAATTCTCATGGTAATGTGTGATTTAAGAACAAAAAAGATTTGCCTTAACTGAGAAACGTTAATTCTCATGGTAATGTATGATTTAAGAACAAAAAAGATTTGCCTTAAAAGCAGCGATAAAACTGATTTTGTAACAATCATGCAAGTATATAATAATGAGTGTATACATAAGTGTATAATTTTTAGAGATCAGTTTTGAGCATGGCATTCTAAATTGCATACAGAATAATTAATGTCATGGTCATCAAAACAAAACAAAAATATTTGCACAGAGTAATGTGCCATCGACAATATACTATGCTACATTACCTGTGTATTGTCTAGCCCCACTTACAAAGAAAGTCTATAACTAAGCTGTAATAGAAGAGGAGGTATATGGTGGCATCATTTTCTTGTATGTTTTCATGTACCATTTCTTTAGTATGGTATGTGTATATTTCGTGTTTTCTTCAAAATGACATACTTCAGATAAATATATTATAAATTTTTACTCTAGATAATATTTGAAAGGAATTGAAACGAAATTTATTCTATTTTAAAAAGCAATTTATTTTTACTATAAAAAGATCAATCACATATTATTACCGATTAAGTATATTCTAATGAATCTAATGATAAAAATGAAAATAAAATCATCAAAGTTTTTGATCTTTTTTTTTACTTAATTAAGGCTCGAGCTCTTTTCATGAATATACGAACCTTTGTTAAATGTATAAGTTTCAGAAATCAGCTATCGTCGAAATGCTCTGACATTGCATACAATTAACAATAACATTCTTTACCCAACACGGTCTTTTTTTACCACGTGAGATTGCCCTAGTCCTTGTCATAAGAGGCTACAGACGTTCGATACGAGACAGTTCATTCACTGTACACATAGCGTATGTGTGTGTGTGTGTTTGTCCAAGTGACGTGTATAAATTTCCTTCTTGTTCTGAAGATAGAGCTATTAATCATTGTAAAACATGTCAAAATGGAAACTTTCAGGATTAAACAATAGCACGGATATTTTACCTAAGTCAATTTTGCAGGTAAGGCAATTTTCTTATTTTTGATCAATTTTTTAAAATAAAGATAGATTCAACTTTAAAATTCCTTATCAATATACGTTTGCCTTTGTGATTCTTTTCTGTTATAAAAAATTCTAATGTTAAAACCAGTGCTCCTATTTCCCTCTACCGCCTGTAAATGAATTAAGCATCTTTAATTTTCCCCCGGATAATATAAAACCCTACGTAGAGTTTTAGGAGAAAATCGACTGTCAAATGACGTACTTTTTTTAACCTTTCAATAATACATTAGTCGTCTTGCTATCGTAGAAATAATTGAATTAATGTTGTGGTTTTGTTAGCCAAACTTTATTTAGAAGTACTACTACATTACATATTCTTATATGAAACATAAACACAGTCACTTATGAACTGGGACGGATATGAAAAGCACGGACTAAAAGTAAGAATTACATTTCATTTTTTTTAAAGAATATTAACAAACGAAAGAGATATTAAACCAGAGGTGTTCATTATAATATTTTATATTCAGTCTCACTTCAAAAAGCAATTATATGAACGTTTTGTAAAAAAAGCATACTTTATTTTACCAAATGTTTGGATCTAAGTAGGCGTATGTTAAAAATTACGAGGTTTTCTCGGGCAAAATTAGTATATAGGGTTGTTTATTCATTGATTTATATATTAAAATGTTGCTTGCTTGGTGCAGTGGTTAGAGAGTATGTTTTGAAGCTCTTTGTTTTGAAGCTAAGAAGTTATTCTAAAGCCGCAGATTCGAACCTCACTGCGAGACATGGACACTGATTCTTTGGATTGTTATATATGAAGTGATAAGATCCCAGTGCGAAAAGAATCCATCGCTGTTGAGTTAAAGTCTGACTTTGCAGCCCGGTGACATCTTAATATAAGTGAAAATGTTACAAAAAAGTCGAACACAAAACATTGATTTTATAACCTTTAAATTCAAAAATACTAGCCTGTTGGTATAATATATATCACATGGGAAATATGTGTATAACTAACATTAGCAAACATGTGTAATTAAATTAAATTCTATTTAATTCATAGATCACATTTCGTGCAATGAATTTTATAGAGCATTGTCGTGTACTGCTATGACGAGTATTTCATTTTTTATACAGGATGACAAAGCGAAAGGACATGGTGCATTTTGTGATTGTGTCCGATGAATTCAACTCACTCAAATGGAGCTAACATCTTCGTTACTAAGAATGCATTAAAGGATGGGAGTTGATATTCAGTAGATCTGCTTTATGAAGTTACAGTGACAAACCTAAACATCACCAAGTATTCATAGAAAAAAAGCATCTTAACATCGCCAGAATGAAGTCAGATTTCTTTAAATTTCTTTGGATATTAAGTTTTCTTTCCTTGGGAAATTTGCAAGATCTCTCAGATTGTGAAGTCCCAAAATGCAAAAATCGTACAAGAACAATGTCAGCAACACCTTTAATGGACCAGCACACTGTTCCCATGGAAACAAAGATCACAGGCACCAGGTTATATTTGGGTGCGAACGACAACTACACAAGGTGCATGGTAGATACTCCAAGCCTTCTGGATGCTTTTGGTTTCGATGGCAATTCCGTCTACGCTGTTCTTGTAATAAACTGTATAAAGGAAATGGAAGTGTATTTCTCCGAGGATGACAGACCTTTCCTACCGAATGTTATGGCATATTTCCAAATCTCCTTATGCCGAATATCACAGCAGCAGCTCCGGCCTTTCAGGAACCGATTTAAAATATATATGATAAATTTAATGGCCAACTACCCTCCACTTGATTTCAGATACTGCGATGGAAACACTGTGAATCTTAGTTACTGTGGGGTCTGGAATACACTTGAAGGATTTTTTTGGGAACCAAAGATTGCAACACTGAGAGATTCTGTATCAACAGTTCAAGATTTATTGTTTTGTAATTCAACCTTTCCATCTTACAAAGAAATTCAAGTCACAAAAGTTCCAATGCAACAATATTTATCATCATTGTCGAGTATGTTTCCAAGACTGCAGGTTCTAAATATAATTAACTCAGACTTGACTGAGCCTCCTAATTTTCCCTGGAGCGACACCTGGCTTACATTAAGTATAAACATGACGAGAAAAGATCAAGCACAAAGCGACTATGCTGGAAAATTCAACATTCAGTTGCCAAATAACTATCATATGAAATCTATGTCTCTGAGTAAAAATAAAATTTCAAACCTCCGCAATTATACTTTCAAAGGATTTCTGCATTTACTAGATTTATCGGAGAATGGATTAGAAGAAATAAGTGAATTTACGTTTAGAAATCTTCGAGGTTTTCAACATCTTGATATAAGTGAAAATAAATTGCAAATTATTCCAAAGGATACTTTTAAAGGTCTTACTGAATTACGTCATCTTGATATGAGAGACAACAGGATTTCCTATCTATCAAATGATCTATTTTCTGATAGCACAAAGATGGTCTACCTAGACTTTTCAAAAAACAATATTAATACAATCGAAATAAACACGTTTTCTCAATTACATTTGCTTAGAGAACTCCATCTTGAGAACAATTACATTTCTGCTTTACATCCACAATATTTTCCAAGTCAGTCACCACAATTCAAAAATCTTTTTCTAGATGGAAATAATTTTGTCGATTTTCCGACAGCAATATTCGATCTGCGATTGCTGGAGAAAATTAGCTTGAGGAATTCAAACATAAGATTTCAAAACTTTAGCCGAACCATATTAAACTTAAAATTGGCGTCAGCACTGAAAGATGAAAACGGCCCGGAACATGAAGGATCCTCGAAGAATTTCAATACTGATGCTAAACAACAAATTGATATAGGTCACCAAGTCATTTTAGACTTAACTGGAAATAAAATTGAAAATCTTCAATTACCGAGATACGACATCACAAGTGTCCAAAACAAAGAAACAGAGCAGTTACACGAAAATCTCTTGACGATTTTGAAAACATTTTGGATTTTGCTGGAGAAGAACCCCCTTCGTTGTGATTGCGGAATAAACCAAATAGCCAAAGTAGTTAATCATTTCTTAAAAGATGAATTGATCGGAGATGATACATATTTCAGTACTTGGAAATGTTTCTGGCCAACTGAATTTGAAAATCGCCCTCTTTTAGAAGTAAAGGAAGGGGACACGTATTGTGAGAAGAATATGCCATTGTGTCCGGCTAATTGTACATGTTATGAACGGTCAGTATCGAAAATCAATATTATCGATTGCCGGGATCGGAGTTATCGTTCTTTACCCGAAAAATTGCCCTCTGGAATCTTAGATCTTTGGTTTGATAAAAACAATATCACTCACTTAGATAGAAGGGAATACTTGAACAGGGTTAGAACATTCAACCTCTCTAGCAATAATATTGCTAAGATAGACGTTGGTATATTCCAACAAATGAAAAATGTTCAAGAACTCGTTTTGAATTCCAACTTTCTTGTTTCTTTGCCTGTCGAAACTCAGGAATATTTTTTTGGATCTCTTTATCTAGAAGATAATCCATTCAAATGCGATTGTAACACAAAGTGGTTAAAACAATGGATGACAAAACATAGAGATATCGTGGTCGACGCCCAGAGAGTAACATGCAATGTTGACGAAGAAAATGGGGAAGGACAACAATTCATTTTTGTACCAGACAGTGAATTTGTTTGTTTAGAGGACTTTGATTCACACAATAAAGTCCTAATTCCTACAGTCGTGAGCTCTCTTCTGCTTGTACTCCTGATAGTAATTGTGTCCGTTATATACGTTTATAGACTGGAAGTTAAAGTTCTACTTTACGTATATCTTGGAATCCATCCTTTCGATCAAGATAAAGATTGTAAAGAAGTCATTGACGTGTTAGTCGTACATTCTCCTTATATAACCGACTGGGTTATGGAGAATATTGTTGAGTATCTAGACTTTTGCAATTCACATTTTTTAGTTTGTGAAATGATGAGAGATTTTGTTGCAGGATTTTCATATCAGGAAAATATTGCCACTTTGGTGAAACACAGTAAAAGAATAATCATTGTGCTTTCGAAAGAAATAATGAATGACGATATTCTAAAAATTGCGTGGAACGAGACCAAGGAAAAGATTAAAGCACAGAAGACCAATTATGCTATTGTTGTTTCACATGATGTAAATCTCAAAGAAATCCAGATCAAAGAGTTAAAGCAATATATTAAAGGAGGACGACACATTGATGCCTCACAGAGCCTCTTTCAGGAAAGACTACAGTATTGTATGCCACAGCTAAAACATGATGAAGATAGGCTCCGAAGTTTACCAGATTTAAAATACCTCATTCAGCACATGTATGGAAGTGATCTTAACAATGCCGAAATGTACGAACGTCATGCATTCGTGTCATACGGTGAGAGTAAAATGGGTTATGTTATGAACGAATTGAGACCTATATTAGAGGACAATGGATTTACTCTGTGCATTCCTGACAGAGATTTTATCCCAGGGGCACCGAAGGAAGAAAACGTACTCAAAGCCATTGACAACTGTCTCCATACAATATTTCTTCTGTCTGGAGAACAGTTAGACAATGAGTGGTCAATATTTACGTTCCGGTCTGCGAGTGAAAAGTCAATGCGAGAGAAATGCAACCATTTGATAGTAGTTCTCGGGGATGACGTTAATTTGGATACCATGTGTGAAGAAGTTAAAACCTATGTTAATACTCACGTTTCCCTTAGGGTAAACGAAAAAGGGTTTATAAAACGGTTACTCAACGCTTTACCCGACGTAGAGGATCACGAACTTTACATCCGTAATGACGAAAATAATTTCGTTAATTTTGAAAATCTGCATAAGAAGATGGGAGAGAATTTAGCAGAAACTTTTCCCGATATTCTAGAACTTGAAGGGAAAAATAATGAGCATTTGAAAACAGAAAATGGAAAACAAAATGGTTTTGTTCATTTATCTGATATTCATCTGAATGGTTCTCTCCATTGTTATAACAACAAAGCTTTCCAAAGTGATAAGACGGCTGTTACAGGTGTAAATGAAAAGGACAATTAAGGTTGTAAATACGTTCAGGGAAATGTTATATAACTGTATTTAATCCTTTTTATTTGATCTTTTTTTAAAAAGAATCTTTGGTGTGTTATATTTATTAGAGGGAAAGGAAAATTATAACATTAATTTAGTATAACATTAATGGTAGCTGAACGTTGATAATTTGATGTAGTAAATGTGGTAAATACACCAAAAATCTTTTCTATCTGGGAATTGTCTACTAGACAGGCAACAAGACAAGAAAAAAGTATCTGTAAATCGTTTAATAACAAGATGGTTGTCTGTAAAAATCGCAAACACAGTAATTTACATGAAAAGTACTGCGTATTTAGAGGACTAACAAATGTTAATAAAATTACAATCTTTTTTCTGATAAATGTACAAAAAAACCAGATCAACTTAAATTAAAGATTTGAAAATATACAACATTTAATCCTAACGATTTAACAATATAAATGAAACCAAAACATTAACATTTAGTGAAAAACACTTTTTTGTTATTTGCAAAGTTTGAATGAAATCAGAAATAGAACATTTTCAATATATAAGACTTGTTCGTGGACATTTCTAAAAGTGTTCCTTTTTTTATTCATACAAGTAGTTTTCTTTCTTAAGTATTACAATGCCGCATGTGTTTCAAAAAGGCTCTCTTTACACAACATGATAACAATGGTATCACTTTTCCTTCTTTAAAATACCGATTTTCAGAAAAAAATGTACAAACTTTGATAGAGAAGTTTTTTCTGTTATGTAAGAGTTGCTTTATTTAGAACATTTAATAAATATCTTTAAATATACTAAGCTCGTACTTTCCGCAATTTAATGTAAAATGCATTTATTTGAAATTTTTGCATCGATTGCATATTTTTAAGAAATAAAGCATATATTAAAGACGAAAAGCTGAATTAAACTGCAGATGATTTTAAATTATAAAATTTGTTACTATATTTGTCCTATTTGCAGTTTCTCAGATCAATGTAGTCAACTCAAAACCCTGTCTGATTTATGACTATAAAAAGCTATTAAAACTCCGAAGTTTTAGAGACATCTGTTTAATTAAAAAAATAATCCCACTTCTTAATTTGATTATATTTTATGGTGAATTTCAATAAAGAAGGATTTCCTTAGATCAGTGATATGGAAAAAAAGTTTGGAAGGGCCTGGGTCGGAAAAAATTTTTCATCTTTTCCAAACAAAATTTTAAAAAGATGTATATATTTTAAATTTCCTTGTTTGATAAAAGTATTTGTATTTTTGTACTTTTATTTTCCATTTCTACCTCGATCTTTTTAGAGCTTTACTCAATTGACCATGCATATTTTCCCTCTTGACCTTTTAGGTGGATATATATTGTATATTGATCTTTGTACCATGTCTCCTTTCTTATTCATGTTTGTCATTTTACAACTAAATAAAAACAATTACTTGAATAAAAAGAAAGAATTTATCTTATCTTTGATGAGTTGACATTTTCAAGAAATCAGTGATTATAGGGATATATTATTTTCGCTAAAAGAAATAAAACTTCACTCACTGTGGCAAAATTTGCATTAAAAATTTAAAGTCTAGAATTTTTAGCATCTTGTGTAGCTATTATATCAAAAAAAGGGTTCTCAATTCATTTCTGCAAATTCCTGTTAAAACATACTGATTGTACACACAAGTATTCGAAAGTTTAAAATAAGAAATGCATGAATTTCTGATAAATAATATCATTAAATTCTTTGCAACAAAGCCTTCAGAGAATGTGTTGGAATTCCAATTATTACTTATAGGAAAACGTTATCATATTGTTATTCCGCTCAAGCAGTATTTATTCAAAAACAAGAATACCATGTAGTCTACGACGAATTTTAAAGTCCAGGCTTTCTGACATCAAATTCAGCGATGTTTATAAAACTGAACTCGTAAATGTAAACATGCGTAGGTCATTACTGGTTGTTGATTTTTTTAATATAGAAATTCTAAGATTGCATATACATGTACAAGCATTCTGAAATTGTGATATTTAAATTATTCAAATATGCTTCTTTGTCAAACAATTTGAAAAACAAAGCTGATTTACAACTATATTGGAATATATTGAGGCTCTATACTCAAAAAGTTTTCCTCTACTGCTATTTATATCTTACAGTGTATGAAAGAAGTATATGGAGATAACGAACAGTATTCAATTTCAAAGTCCATAAAAACAATTGAAAATAGGAGCAGAGCAAACACGGACCCCAGAAACAACAGAAGTGGGATCAGGTGCCATGGAGGAGAGAGCATCCCCTGCTGACCGGTCAAACCCGTCGTGTGCTCCTTCTCATGATCGGGAAATAACGGAAAAATCCGTCGTCAATTCAATGTATAAATAATGGACTAACAATTAGTATGAAAACCGTTAGTCAGGAAAGAAATAGGCTTGGTTAAGTTTGACCCACTGAGTATTTTTATTTGTAATGAATTTTTTATGAAATTTCATTTACCTAATATAGATATTGTTATTGACATTCATTTTGTTTTTTGACAATATTAAAAATTTATTGACCAATAGAGTTATGTCCCATATAGAATAACGAGTAATCGAAATATAACTGCTGGCAAATAGGATGATACCTTTCTAAGAATATTCGACATTTAACTGCTGTGAAAATCCAATTTATACAAAAGCCAAAAAGGCTTCTTCGAGTTTCGAAATACGAGATTCGAAATTCGATTTTGATATTCAAGATCCAAATTAACCAATTAAATGGCTGATTAAAAATATGATTACTTCCCTATACTTAACTTTTACATGCTAATCAATAATTCATGAAAAAATATTACATGTATCACAACGAAATGACAATAAACTTTTAGTTACATTGAGACTAGCTAAATATCAATAAATTCTTATTTCTTGATAAGTACATTGATAATTTTGATAACACAATTAATAGATACATGTTGTAACTATTATGAATTTTGTCACGACAGGCGCTGGTACGATAAAAATTCCTCATTGTTAAATGGCCCTGGGCGCCGAGTAAATGGCAACATTTGAAGCCCTTCATCTTTATATGGTGACGTCTCCACAGGAGTGAAACATTCTCGAATGGAACGTAAAACAGCATACAATCAATGAATTTCATTCTGATATATATTTTACGAACTTTCTTTTATTGTAATTTTATCAACTGACCTCTTTGACACATAGAAATTGAACGATTTCCTGATAGACAAAGCTAAGCCAAGGAGACAAGTGAATCTTATACCGCCTTCTGATCGGTCAATTTAGATTTTGAAATTGAAATTCGAATCTTGAATTTCGTATTTAGAAACTCGAATCTCAAATGGGACTTCTGGGCTTTCGTAGATGTACTATACAGTTCAATGCTTAATTACAATCGTCTTTGTCCTGTTTGTAAAGATTGTTTTTGAAAAATCTCATAAATTCCCTTCAAGAGGCATTAAAGATATTTTTTGAACAGGATAATGACGTATAGTGTATATTAATTTCACATCGAATTAAATTTGAACTTAATATAGTAAATAAAAAATGAAAGGACATTAACTTGTCATGTCTTTGGGCTATTATAGAGATACAAAACACACCTGTTGGAAACACTTGTTGTCAAATTCTTCTCAATGATTTTTTTTTACATAAAGTTTATTTTTAATCCCTAGTAAGACGTGTCTCAAGTTTTGGTTAATTTGAAAAAAATCAACTGTAGTTGTTCAACTTCTTGTCTTAACGTAGTACCTTTCTTCAGGTGTTCAGGTTTTCGTCAATTTTTCTGGCTTTGATTACATTGTAGACTCAGGAACTGAGTGAAGAAATTTAGACAGGAGAAATAATCATTTACAAATTGATTAAAAAACACTACAACTTGTTCCAGGATAGCTACCGAGATAAGAGAAGTTATATTTTAGGGATGTTCGTTCCTAAGATGTCAGTATTTCTCTATAGACCATTTACCGATACTACATATATATGGTTGCAAAATTAGACCTGCATTCGACACTTAGGGTCTTTTGAGCCGTAAGGGATTTTAGTCGTGCCAACACCGACTGGAACATGGGATCGAGAGATTCGAACCTTTGATGCAAGAACTTATTCTTTGTATTCTTTGTACTGCTCGTTATAAAAACTCTCTAATCACTCTGGTGACTTATAAGGAATGAAATATGGAGATTAAGAATATAAATCATGCTCAAAGAATCGATGTATATCAAGAACAGAGAAAACACAAACATCTATCTATGGATCTTTTAATCATGATGGAACACATGGTGGGTGTAACAAGGGATGCTTACTCTGGCTGTGAAGTATTTTAGAGGTCCGTGTTTTCTCTGCTACTGTATTGTTTGAATTTACTTATGAGGTTGAATGCCGTTTGATATCGCCATAAAATGTCAATAAAATGTCATTTATAAATGTATACACTAATGTATCTACATCGCAACACACGAGTATTATAGCGGTAGGATTGTAGTTTGTTTCACTGTTTTCGGAATTCATTTGCATGTCTATATTGACATCAGAAAAAAAATGCTACAATGTCCTTATTTTGTATACCTATTAGAATATGACCTACTTTAATCTTTAAGATACATATATTGTTTAAATAAAAAAAGTAATTAATTGTTTCAGGTTTGCTTAAGGTCGTATAGATGAGTTTCACAATGGTGATAAATCTTTCAACCTGTCAGAACATATGAATTTCAAAAGAAGGTAGGAGTAAAGGAAAAATTAACGACTCAATTAGAAATAGATTTAACACGGTATGATTTCCCAAATAAATGTATATCGTTATTTTGTTGGTAGGTAGCATGGATTAGGTATTACATGTTTTTTATGAACCGCAACAAACTGTATTCTCTGTGTCTCCTAGTTTAGAATGAAAACGTCATAGTTAGCTAGCGTTTATTGGTTAAGGAAGAAAGCAGTTCCATTTTATGAAGTATTTTTTAAGTTCATATTAAACACATTTCAAAAGAATCTAAAAGAGATTCATTCAATTTACTGATCTGAAAAGATACCAAAATACACTATTCTTTGTGAATTAAACATATAATATTCACTTGGAAAATTACTTGATCCGTATTTTGTTTTCAAGAAACATATGGAGATAACAAAGAGTATCCAAGATAAAAAATCCATGAAACAATACTAAATGGGAGCAAAGCAAACACCATTTATTACTTTACACCAAAATCATTTAAATAGAGTTCAATTGAGATTCATTTCTATGTTTATTAGTATCATACAAATGGACAGAGAAAAGGAATTTCCATTTTCATTGCTTACATTTGTTTTATATTCATCAAACAGTTTCAATTTTAAGTGACAAATAACAGTAAAATTACTAATGTTAAAAGTTCTATTCTGATAAAAAGCGTATATCATATATATTTCAAAAATTCATGATTATGTTCACATCTTTTTTTTAAATAAATTAAGATTTTGCCTGTAATATAAGGGAGACAAACCCTCTTTCTCTTTCATTTAGTATAGTTAAGAAGAGTTGTCATAAATTGCTTTGAAAAAAGGTATACATCCTCTAAAACAAATGAAACAAGAAGACAACAAATAGTAGTCAAGTGAAGTATATGGAGATAACATACAGCATGCAAGCTCAAAAGTTCATTAAACAATAAAAATTTGGAGCAGAGCAAACCCGAACTCTTAAAAATTAGAGTCGGGATCATGTGCCACGGAGGAGTGAGTTTCCCCTGACGACCTATCATACCGGTTGTATGTTCCTTATCATGATACTGAATAGTAGTCAAGAAATCCAATCAAGAGAAGGATATGGAGATAACGAACAGTATTCAATATCTAGGTCCATAAAACAAAACAGGAGCGGAGCAAACACGGATCTCCGAAACATCAGAGATGGGATCAGGTGCCATGGAGGAGTGAGCATCCCTGTCGATTGGTCACACCCACCATGTGCTCCTTGTCATGATTTGGAAATAACGGAAATATCCGTCGTCAATTCAGTGTATAAATAATGGACTAACAATTAGTATGAAAAACGTCAGTCAGCAAATGACTGAATGATAAATTGTATTTGCTGACAAGGTCATTGTGTCGACAAATAATACAAAATTAGAGCAAGGAAAGCATTGGCATTTTAAACAGACTCGCGATTAAGATCCATGAAGAATTAAATCATCTTAACTCTATTTTTAATAAATAAATTCAATTAAAGTTTTCCCACCGAGAAAATATAAATAAAGTTAAATGGAGATTCATTTGAATGTTATTAGTATCATGCAGAGAGACAGAGAAAATTTTTTTCCCATTTCCGTGTTTTACATTTATTTTACAATATTTTTAGTTAATTTTTAAATCAAATATTCCCTTATGATTTTTGTGCATATGCTTGGTTTTCTCAACAAACACATCAAGCACATGACATGTGTGGAGAGTTGATGCTTAATGCTCCATGGCACCCAGTCCCGCCTCTGATGTTTTTGGAGGCCTGTAGATTAAATACTCTCCCAAGCATCAGATCCATTTCAGGTGTTCATAAGGGTCTATGGCGTGCCCGGTTCAAAATTGGTCTTGTAAATTATCTTGGTATCAGTTTCATCTCTCATTCTAGTCTTTTGATGTTTTATGTCTTATTGAAGTCCATAGTTTAATGAAGATATGATAACGTCATGGAATCTTTAATTTTTGTAATTGTGTCACTTGTTTCGTAAATTATTGATAAATATTTGGGAGTTATCTCTCTTTTGTTACTCATTAAAAATGATAATACAGGATATTAAGAGACTTTTTTTTTGTTTAGTCAAAGGCATTCGGAATTTCTATTATATAGAATGATGATATTATGATATAAGACATGTTTACTCTTTTTCAAATGCATATTGTACGATTGTTTATTGAACTGGGGGACAACGTTTGTTTTATCAAACCTTAGATCCTAGCAGTTTGTCTCAGAACGCCAGTCATCATTCGACTCAATGATCGATTGTATTTACTGATAAGATCATTGAATGAGTATCGACTATAAAACTTGTGAAATGACTGAAAACGAGGCTTTTGATAATCCTGATTTAACAACTTGTTTGTCCATAAGCTTGATTACCTCGTTTTAGTAATATGAAACAGATGTCGCAGGGTCTGTAGGGTATTTTGTTTCAATTCAACTCGGATATATCGAATTTTTCTTCTGCTCATTTACTTTTCTGAAAACAAAGCTTCATCTGAATGCCAAATTAGGTCTGCAATAATGAGGCACTAAGATCACTGGAAATTCTAATGAAGCGACCTGGTGCCTGGATGAAGTCATCTTATACACAAAACGAAAATAGACTTAGTAAAAAATATACTACCAACACGGAAGGTGGGATCAGGTTTATAATGGGAGTACTATAAATTAATGTATTAAGTGTAGCGTGAACGATATTTGGCGGAAATTGATTCTATATTGATTATAAATCTTCTGCTATATGATTAATTTTAAAATTTTCATTCAGTGTCCTGTCTCAAAGTCAATGTGATTCGTTATTGTCAGATTCAATTCACAATGTTTGACTCACATAATTCCAAACTTAGAGACGTTGGTGTAAATAAAATCATCATTATTTTAAATCTATCAACGTAAAGGATTAATAAAAAATGATTTTGGAAGAAAGGAAATAAACTTTTATCCCCAACAATATAAACTACGTTTGAGGAATGATTTTGTTCAAGATAATAGAGAAGACTGCTCTTGCTCCCTTTAACAAAGTATACGAATATCTTGTTTAAGAATACATTACATGTACAAAAAATATTCTAACTTCTTCGCAAACGTAATTAATAGGCGAAAACATTATGTTTTTGGGGTTATTTCGTTTTTTTTTTTTATATGATGAATATTTATATTATCTTAATGGCAGTTCACGATGACTATGGTCAGTTTACAACGTACTTTAGTGCCTTTAGCTATAAAACTTATTCAATTTATACAATTATGGAGAGAATTAAAACATTTCTTGAACGAAACTAACAAGCGTGTCCACAAAATATATGCTTAATTAAATGGCAAGGTTAATAGGTCGCTTATTAATAGTTTAAACGCATATTTCGTTTTTTTTTTTATATGATGAATATTTATATTATCTTAATGGCAGTTCACGATGACTATGGTCAGTTTACAACGTACTTTAGTGCCTTTAGCTATAAAACTTATTCAATTCATACAATTATGGGGAGAATTAAAACATTTCTTGAACGAAACTAACAAGCGTGTCCGCAAAATACATGCTTAATTAAATGGCAAGGTTAATAGGTCGCTTATTAATAGTTTAAACGCATAGAGCTGAATGGTTGTGTACTTTTCTAAGAATGAATGATTATCATTGCAGGAACTAAACGAGCCTTTGATAAATGGAAATGTGAATAGATCTAAGAATGTGAGTAGATAATTATATACTTGTCTATATCACATATTAATGATTTAAATAGCTATTTTCTTTCAAATAGCCTTAAACAAATCATGATGATTTTTTAATTTTTCAGTTTTGTTTTATAATAATCAGCATCTCGAGATATATAATTCCCGAGGGTATCAGAATAATCTTTTGTTAGTTTAAAAAATGTTATGATTATCATAGTACATCAATGTTCTCAAGTCTTTACAAACTCTCTTGAACTTTCTGTGTGTGTGTAATTTAGAATTAACATACCTTTCCTCTAATAACAATATAATTGTTATAATGGACAGTAAACTAATTACATTTTCAAACTACTCAAGACACCTCATTTACAGACTAAGCATTTTCCAAATGATTGTATCCTTGCACTTTTTCAACTTTTTTATTCATTGTCAAATGATTTCTAAAAATATGCTATGAATCACAACTCTGTGTATGATATTGCATAATGCTTATCTGATTTAATGGTAAGACCTTTTTTTTTCTTTCTTCCCTGGCCTGTACTTAATTTCAACCAATTTTGCTTTATTCCTGTAAATAAATAAGAGCTACATTTGTTTTGTTTTTTTAAACTGTAAATTAAGAAAATTTAATCGGAATTCATACATATTACATTTATATGACTGAAGAAAACCATTCGTAGAAACCATATAGTGGAACTCAGTGATAGATTGTATTTGCAAACAGAGTCATTGTTGAAAATGTAGGAAAAAGTGCTCCTAAGTTAACTGATCTTTGTTTAATAAAAAATCTATATTGTTGAAACGATATCAGATGTTGTTAGAATAATATGTTTGATTGATCAAGAACATGTTTCCAATGATGTAATGGGTCCCCGTCTTGTAAGTAGTTCTACGGTTTTCGACAACTCTTCCGCTTTGTCAAGATCCGCCATTTGTCATTGTTAAACTCTGTGATGACCTATATTTCATGTTATTATCCCATAGTAAATGGATTTTCAAGGTAAGTTTTCAGGAACTACATAACATGGATGGGTATTAAAGTGGAAAGAATTATTTATCCTAATAAGAAAGGACAGATCGTTATACGATGTGAAAATGACATAAAAAGTATTAGAGATAATGCCCCTATTATAACCTTCGATGTATCAACGAAAGTGAAAGACGCACGTTTATGTCAGCCCTGTCAGGTAGGTGATCTCGTCAATGGACGAGACCTCTCCTAGTCATGGAAACTCTTAAAGCTAAATTTCTTTTTAAATAATATCAAATTTTTTGAGTAATTAATTTATAAAAGTACTCGACAAGTTAAGTTGTTTGCCTGAAAAAACTTTTATGGTAAATAACGTTTCTTGACATTTGATTTAAGGTGTATGGATTATATTCATTAACTTTTTTTGCTTGATATACTAATCTAACATAATAAGGTCAACTTTGAATGTAGGCGTATTAAAAGCCATCACACAAATAATGTGTCAGATAAAAACAAGTTAGTTTTCAGGGGATTTTTCGTCGATCAGGATAAAGTCTATTAATGGACATACCGCTTACTTCTTATTTTGGCACGTTTTTCAGTTATTGTGTCTCAAATCGTAGAGGTAAACTGTTTGTGAAATAGGTTAATGTATGTCATTATCTTTCAAATCAGTCAAGGCCGTTTCAAGGTCACCGTCATTTTTTTTTTTCACTTTTTGAAACAAAATAGGCATGGAATTTTAATGTATTACATACAACCTGTTCAAGCTAAATAATAAAGTCATTTGTATCATTCACAAAAAAGAAGCAAGAATTAACTTCTTCTAATTTATTTTTTAGGTCCCGTCATGAATAACTCTACTCAAAACAGCATTTTCGATTCAAACCACGAAAGGGAGACAGAGAAGGCTTGATTTTTTTTTTAGAAAGAAACTATTCTGTCCACTCCATGAAAAGGAAACCGATTTCTTCAAATCATTTAATATCTTTTTAAGATGCAGACAAGGGATTTATAGATGGACAGAATTACCTTTTCAGCATTTCAACGCAGCCATGCCTTGGTATTTAATTTTAAATCTAGTTATGCTTGCTTCGTTTTACATTCATATGACACATGGGATCGAAATGGATAATGATTGTATATCAGAGTGTAAAATCACGAAGGCCAATATAACCGACATTCACCTCTTGAGTCAATATGATAAACCCCTGAAAACAGTTTCCATATCATTGTTCTTAGGACTGAAAGAAAATAACTGTTCCACTAAGAATCAATGTCTTTTGAATAGCACAAGGATTTTGGAGCATTACAACTTTGGTGATGAATCTATTGTAAGTGTTTTTAACTTTCAGTGTTTTACGCCTCTCATAATACAAATCACACCGTATTCAGGTAGGCATAAACAAAATATCATATCCTATATCCAGGTAATAAAATGTCAGATGACAGAGGAATCCTTTTACATTCTCGGAAGTATGGTTCTTCCTTTCCACGTGCTACTGAAGGACACGAACCTTGCAGCTCTAGAAAGTAGTGGAACGAACAAAACAATGTGCAACTTGATGAAGCAAGTGACTACTTTATGGATTGTTAATGAACCTTCACAAGAGAATGTGACGGACTTGGAAGACATTATAAACATGTTTCGGTGCAGTCATGACTTTCCAAAGATGAAAGATTTGACAATTCAAAACATAAACATAAATACGTCTGTATTCGACTTCAGTGTTAAACTTCCTAACCTGGTGTCTCTTGAACTCTCTCAGACAGGTCTTCGACATCCAATTCGATTTCCTTGGAGTGATTCGTCTCCCTTACTCAGTTACAATCTTTCATCCTCTGACTATCTGCTAAATCACTATGCTAAATCCTTACACATAACTGTAGAAAAGCATCATTTCCGTAAATATTTGAATCTTAATATGAATAATATTTCTAGTTTACAGGACTATGAATTCGAAGGCTGGCTACAAGCACTGAAATTCACTGGAAATGGACTAACTGAATTACCAGAAAATTTATTTCGTAAATTGAAAGAAATTGAACATATCGATATGAGTTTAAACAACATTCAGAGACTTCCTTCCTCTTTGTTTCGGGGGCTGACCTTGTTGAAGCATCTTGATGCCCACGCTAACAATTTGACAGAGATACAGATGGATCTTTTTGTTGATAACAAGGAATTAATCTATATTGACTTTTCACGTAACAAAATAGAGAGGATCCATAAAAATGCATTTCGATACCTGGATAACTTACAAGAGCTACATTTGAAAAATAACAATATAATTTCATTAGAAAATTTGGAGTGGCCTTTGTATTCCACGAAACTTGAATTTTTATATTTCGATGGAAATCCGTTGATTCACTTACCAGCAGAAATATTTTATTTAAGAGCCCTCAAAATGGCCAGCTTTAAATATACACAAATTCATTTTACAAATTTTACTAATTATTTGAATAATCTAGATTTTAGTACGATAGCCGAACAATTGCTCAAAGGCGCTGTGCCCAAAAATGATGTTAGTTTTAATGTTATCGTTAAAAATCCAAACTTGCTTCTCGTTAATATCCTGGATAGAAATCGAAAAATTGATCTTACTGGCAGTAGAATAGACAACTTAAATATCGAATATTTTGGAGAGCAACAGGAACTTAAAGAAAGATCGGGTTATATCAAACTAAAGTTACTTTTGATTTTAAAGTTCTTTGAAATTATTTTAGAAGGAACCCATCTTCGATGCGATTGTGGGATTATACATATTAGTAGATTGGTAACATTACTTAAGAATGATGGTTTGTTTGATGGAAAAGAGTATTTTTTCAACGATTGGAAATGTTTTACCCCTCAAGAATTTAAAGGCAAAACCATGTGGGAGATACGAGAAGCAGACACTTATTGTGAAAGAAATATTACAAACTGCCCGACAAATTGTACTTGTTATTCGAGATCAGTAACGTCTATTACGATTGTCGACTGTCGAAATCGACACTTTCAGACATTACCAAAAATCTTACCTACTGGTATAGTAGACCTATGGTTTCAGCAAAATAACATTTCTACAATCAGTGACGATAATTTACAATACCTACCATATATTAGACAACTTTATTTATCCGAAAACCAGTTAACAAGTATTAGTGATGGCGCCATAAGTAAAATGACTCTTCTAAGTTCACTGTATGTAGATTCCAATTACCTTGTATCACTTCCCAGAGCTCTCCAAAGCAAGAGATTGATGTCCATTAGTTTCATTAACAATCCGCTAAAATGTGATTGCCATACAAAGTGGATAAAACACTGGGTGTTAAGAAACACGGATATGGTGGAACATGTCTCGGATATCACGTGCAATGTAGACGACGAAGCAGAAAAAGGAAACTTCTTGATCCGAATTCCAGATCAGGATTTTGTTTGTTTGGAAGACTTTGACTCAATTAAACATGTAGTCATACCCAGTGTGACCAGTTCTTTGATACTGGTACTACTCATCATTTTGCTGTGTTTGATGTATGTTTATCGGTTAGAGGTAAAGGTTTTACTATATATTTACTTGGGAATCCATCCATTTGATAAAGATGATAAAGATGGAAAAGAAATTATTGACGTTTTGGTTCTTCACGCCCCGGATACGACAGAGTGGGTAATGGAAAATGTTGTGAAGTACTTGGAATTTCAGAAAGAGTATTACGTTGTGTGTGAAATGATGAGAGATTTTGTCGCTGGTTTTACCTATATGGAAAACATCGCAAGCATTGTAAAACACAGTAAGCGAATGCTGATAATCCTCTCTCCTGAATTTATCGAAGACGACTTGTTAAAAGTAGCTTGGAATGAAGCGCAAGAAAAGATCAAAGAACTTCGAACAAACTACGCCATTGTTGTATGTCATGACGTAGTTTTGAAACAAGTAATGATAAAAGACATGCAGAGATATATCAAACGAGGGCGCTATATCGACGCAAATCAGGCGCTATTTCACGAAAAGCTTTTGTATTCGATGCCTCAGTATGAGGACCAGCCTGGAAGAGGTAAAAGTCTCCCGGATATTAAAGCCTTTATCCAGGCAACGTATGGGGAAGAGGGAATCAATAATGACATGTACAAGAGACATGCTTTTGTGTCTTACTCTGACAGTGAAATGCCGTATATTATGAATGAATTAAGACCAACTTTAGAAAATAATGGATACTTGTTATGTCTGCCTGATCGTGATTTTGTTCCAGGTGCCTCTAAAGAGGAAAACATTTTGAAAGCTATTGATAGTTCTCTTCACACCATCTTCATTCTCTCTGGGAACCACCTTGAGGACGAATGGTCAGTTTTTACATTCAGAATCGCAAGTGAAAAGTCGTTACGTGTCCGAAGCAATCATTTAATCGTTATCATTGGTGAGGACGCCGACTTAGAAACCATGGACGAGGAAGTTCGATTTTACATCAAAACTCACGTGACTCTCAGAGTTAACGAGAAGTGGTTCATGAAAAAGTTATTAAACTCTCTTCCAGAGGTTGAGGCTCCTATTCTTGATATGAATTATCAAGAAGATGATGATATTCAATACAAGGTCCAACATAAGCCGCAGAAGGAAAGAGAGCCCAAACGGGTTGTGGCTGAAATCAATCATCGTGAAAATGAGGATACTGGAATGGTTAATGGTATGGGAAATGGACATGCGGGGAATGGGACGGTTAAGTTTATAAAAAACGATAATCATGCTTATGTTAATGATGAAGATTATCAAATTGAATTTACAGATATTCCATTGGACGATGATGTTTAGTTCATAGTTTATTTTTAATTTGTTTTAATTGCTCACATAGACGATATTGTGTTATTACACGTACGAATGATGTACATGTACCTAGATGCTCAATTGATGTTTAAATAATATTTTCCGAATGTTACAGGAGAATGAAAATTTTTGAAGTATAATTAAACTTATTAAATTTATTTTTCTTTATTTTGTTCTTCACCATGTGTTAATTCCATGTGTTTACATTTTTCGAGTAAATAAATTATGAAACGTAAAGCAATAATTATCGATGATATATTATGTCTTTTGTAAAACTCCGCCTGGTTTTAATATTGTGAAGCAAATTAAAGCTCATATTAGAGCTTTTTTCACATTGACTTAAAATTAGAAATGTTTTAAATACAGAATATTTAAACACAGACCCCAAACATTGCTCAATTATTTGACTGCTCCGTTTAGTATCTTCTCTACGGTGATATAATTCCTCATTCGAAAGACCTGTACCTCTCTTCTGGATTCACGTCTGATAGAAATGTGGAGAGACTTTGGATAATTTCAAAGTAAATTCCATGGTTTTCATACTTTTTTAATGGTCGATAGATCTGATGGATTTATATGATAAAAAAAGTTTCATGTAATTGGCTGAATCTTTTAACTATACGATTTAATCTTTTACATTGAAATAAAAATACGGCATGAAATTAGACACAGAATGAAATTTTTATACTTGGTTTTTTACTTCTCTAAAATAAAATTTAAAATTGAACTTTTCACACCTTTCACCATCCATCACTGTCAAAATATTTCATACAGCATTAGTTTGACAGGGCAAATGTACCTAGTGAGATTTGAAAAATACTGGGAAGTAGCAATTGAAAGATGAGTTAGTGGTAGCACTATATATATACTTTATGTTAATCAATGAGAGAGATTTATAATGATAGTATGCATCCTAGTGGTAAAATTCATGGAGATTAATATAAGATGTATAAATGCTTGGAATGATAATCTGCAAAACCACTTTAACTTAACTTTATCACTCAAAGGAAAAATAAAGCCAGTTGCATTAAAATGCAACGTCTCTATTTGGAAGGGAGTGACAAGGCAAAATGATTAATGCATTTAGTTATTTATATTAAAAATGTGGCATTTGCAGAAATAAAAAAAATATGCAACTTTAAGGACAAATGAAAAGTTGATTTAAGATATGGATGCTTGGAATATTCAAAATAAAAAGAGCGCTGAAGATAAGAGAGCATTGTAAATAGAAATCTTAAAACAATACAGATATGTTATTAAGAGGGCATAAACAGGCCACTAAAAGAATTCCAGATGTGTGATCGGATGCCAAGAAGGTAAAAGCATCCCTTTTAAACCACTAACAGTCGCCTTGAACCCCCTGTATCAGCTGTATATGCTATTTAGTTGTTACATGTAGATCTACTTTATTGGTTTTAAAAATCAGTAAAACATCCGAATATATCAAAAATGTGGCAGACATATCGATTATTTCAAATACACTGGAATATATGTTTATCAAGTATGCATATAAATGGAAGTGGTGATTGTAAATTGATAATACGCATCAATCTATCTGAATGTCGTGATAAAGGCAACAGCAACCGTTTTCTTCTTGTTATATAGAACGACTTATTTGAATTTTTGCCTAGTAGGAAAATAAAACGTCAGGTGATAAATACCACAGTAAGTGCCCATTGTATTTCCAGCATTTGTTGGAAAATCTGGTCTCTGAAACGACGTACATCATTATTATCATTGAGGAAATAAAATTAACATCAAATTCAGAGTACTTTTGTGAATCAGAGTGATTTAACAAAACCATAAAAAATATGTATGAAATTCAAACTATGTCGAAACAAAGATAATTCAAGATATTGATTGGAGAAGAGTTATATATAGTTATTTAACCAAACAGTTAAATCTGTCAAAATTGACCGTAAATCGAGCATCAAAAATAATAAAATTTTATATCTGTATTATTTTTAAATTACCGCCGATCAAAGTGTTGCTTTTCGATTATAATATTGAAATATTTTGATTGATGTACTTTTAATTGCTTGATAAAATTTCGTTCAGTGTATTTTAAAAGCACAGTGAACCAGAGAGTAGGCATATTTGAGGTTTAGGATATCATGATACATGTCAAAGTACATTTTTGCAAGGAACGTACATTTTCCTTCAAGGAAATCATTTTCTCTTAATTGATCGTTAATTATCATTTTCAAGGAATTTATGTTCTAAAAGTGTATACATTGTAAAAGAATGTTTTTTGAGGTAAAGAAAGAAAGTAAGCATTGACTCCAAGATATTTGTTGCTAGAAATATCATGTTCAAACATTGAGGGAGTCTACAGAAATAAAATAAAATATATTAATGTAATTTATCATACAATGTAATAACATACAAGCATATGTATATATCTTATGTAATTTGAAATTAGCGTCACCTTAGCTTATTTTGCTTTTTTCTATTTTCTTAATTTTTAAAACATGACAGTTTTCTTTTTACCTCAGCTTTTCTGATCACATTTTATCTGTCTGTCTGTCTGTAAACTTTTCACATTTTCGACTTCTTCTCAAGAACTGCTGGGCCAATTTCAACCAAACTTGCCACAAAGCATCCTTGGATAAAGGGGATTCAAGTTTGTTCAAATGAAGGGCCACACACATTCAAGGGGAGATAATTGGGAATTAATAAAAATTTGGTGGCATGTTTTAAAAATCTTCTCAAGAACCACTGTGCCAGGAAAGATGAAACTTATATGGAAGCATCCTCAGGTAGTGTAGATTCAAGTTTGTTCAAATCATGACCCCCGGGGGTAGGGCGGGGCCACAATGGCTGACGAAAGTTTTATATAGAAATACATAGGAATTAAAAAAAAATCTTCTAAAAAATTGCAAAGCCATAATTGATCATATTTATATGGAAGCATCCTCAGGTAGTGTAGATTCAATTTTGTTCAAATCATGACCCCCGGGGGTAGAGCGGGGCCACAGTGGACGACTTAAGTTTTACATAGAACTCTTTAGGAAAATTCTTTAAAGATCCTCTTCTCAAGAAAAGCAAAGATATAATTGATCATATTTATATGGAAGCATCCTCAGGTAATGTAGATTCAAATTATGACCCCCGGGGGTAGGGCGGGGCCAAATGGCCAACCAAAGTTTTACATAGAAATATATAAGAAAATTCTTTAAAAATCTTCTTCTCAAGAATAGCAAAGCCATGATTAGTCATGGGGCTACTTTAAGATTTAAACTTTTCAATAATAAACCAATTTCTACTTTTTCCTAGTCACAGTTTTCAGGTGAGCGTTGTGGCCCATGGGCCTCTTGTTTATCCTGGATATCGTTTTTTGCAATAGTATTAAAACAAATCCGAATATTTCTGCCACCTGCTGACTGAAATTTTTCATACTAATTGTTAGTCCATTATTTATACCCTGAATTGACGACGGATTTTCCCGCTATTTCTCGATCATTACAAGGAGCACACGGCGGGTGTGATCGCTCAGCATGGGATGCTCACTCCTCCAACGTTGATCCCATCTCTGATGTTTTGGAGGTCTGTGTTTGCTCTGCTCCTAATTTGTATTGTGTTATGGACTTTTGATCTTGAATACTGTTTGTTATCTCTATATGTTTCATGGAATCATGTTTATGAACGAGTGTCATATTTGTGATGTTACAGACAAAAATTAACATAGCTTTGTGGAAAGGAGTCTGTCATATTTATGACGTCAGGGTTAGAGATTGCTATAAATTATGTAAAAGGAGTTTTCTTACATTTTTGAAGCATTTAACAACCTACATGCATGAGTGATTAACTAAAATATATAATATAAAAAAAAATATGAATTTTGAAGTTAATACCTCATTGGAAAATGTAGGACACTCACCATTTTGTGTCTTTTATGTAAATGCCTTTTAAATTTTAATACTTTTTTTTAAATACATGTATATTAACTTTTTATATATACTATTTGTGATTGTTGTTTTTAAATAAAACTGTTATTTAACTTGAAGAGTAAAATCAAAAAAGAATTATGCTTTTTACAAACTCTTAATAAACTATAAAAATAAAAGCTAAACAATATTTAAAGAATTATAATCGGTAGCTCGTTGATATGCAATGATAAAGTTTTAATAATTGATTTTATTTATTGTAACATCATAGAAGTTATGAATTAATAAAGATAAAGCAAAAAGCATTAGAATCGATTCCAAAATTAATGGGTTTTTTAAGTTGTGATAGTATGACCAATTGACAGGCGATGATTATTACGCTGAGGTCCCTTTCTTTTATCTCTGATATTTCTAGGATTAGGTGTTTTTAGGTCTGCAAGGATTGCAATGAAGAATCACGTATTTTCAAGAAAATCGTTAACTTATGATTCCAGACAAAGACATCAATGAAATATATGGAGATAAAGAACAGTATTCAAGATCAAAAGTCCATAAAATACTAGTAACACAAAATATTAGCAGAGCAAACACGGACCTCCAAAACATCAGAGGTGGGATCAAGTGCCAGAGAGGAAAGAGCATCCCCTGCCGACCAGTCACACCTGCTGTGTGCTCCTTGTCATGATCGGGAAATAACGGAAAAATCCGTCGTCAATTCAGTATATAAATACGAGGGCTGTTCAATAAATAATGTCCTCGGTGTTCGGAAAGAAGCACACGACGCTTTTCAATGATTTAGTCTTCATTATTTTACTTATTAATCTCTTTTAGTTAAAACACATGTCCGTAGCATTTTTTATCCAATTTCTGATTGTTTGTAGAACTCGTGTTTGGGTATGACCCTTGGTATACTGGAAAATGGCAGATCCAGTGATTTCCTGGACTTGTTTCTTCCTTATTAAAGGTGTTTTTTCAAGTTTGGAAATAGAAACAAGTCAAAAGGTCAAAGATCTGGCGAATACTGTTAATGTGAGAAAATATTAACTATCTGTTTATCCCGAAAACCCCTTTACTCTTCAGGGCATGCGGGTTTAGACGATGTCATGAAGAAATTAAATGTAGTGGATTCCTGATTCTGGGTCCTTCCTCTAGTAAACCTTTCCATATTTTTGTAAACAATTTGCTTTCTAATCTCCTCCAGAGATTAAACTGTCACCCCTAATACGAATTTGAACAACAAAACCACTAATATATATAAGAAAATTGCATATAAATCTGTCTTTGTGCTCTTGCAATTCCTTGCTCTCCCGAGACCTTCGCTGTTTTTGTCAAGTACATCTTATGGTAAATTTTGTTTTGAAGATTTTAAGCAATAGACTCAAGTTCCATTATCTGTTTGAATTTCAAAAAACCATGGATAACTCCAATTACTGATATTTTTTAAAAAAAATAGTAAGACATTTGTACACGCTGTCGTTTTCACTCATTTTTCAAAATAAAGGGTGACCTTTGAGTACTATGTTTTTTTACCGTCAAACGTTTCTTTAAAAAAGTGTAAACTACCCCCGATGTGATGTCTATCAAATTTGCTATGTGTCTTAAAGTCAATCCTACATCATCAAGAATTATTTGTTGAAATTTAGCAAACAGTACATATGTTGTTATAATTTTTTGTTGGCAAGGACGGTACCCATTTTTGATGCCCATTATATAATTTTTTATCATTGAAATCCACCTGCTCATTCGTTTATAAAACAGGCATTGGTTGCTGTAAATGTCACATATTTCATTGAATATTTCTTTGGGATTTTTAACAAGTTTTACAGCAACTTTGATGAAGCTTTAATTTTCACTCTAGTTTACCGATTCTTTACCATTCATTTATAATGCAGTGTCTCGAAAAGCCCTTGTTTCCCAGCTTCTCACAATGAAACTATATGATGAAAAGTGGTCACATAAACTGTTATAAATTCATTAAAGATATAATTATGAGAGAAAGTCAAGTTTAATGTCATATGATATTTGTATTGTATGTCAAACAGTTCAGGACATTATTTATTGAACAGCCCTCGTAATGCTCTAAAAAATAAGCATTAAATCGTTCATTTGTAGCAAAAAATTCTTGTATCTTTCTTCAATTTTATGGAGAAAGATAATAATTTATTGCATGTGCTGATAGGACAATCACAAAATTTCTTATTTCTAAATTCAAGTATTAAACGTTCATTTGTGTTTTATATCAAATAATGTTATAGACATTAGCGTTATTTCCTCGAAGCCATATAAAAGTTCCGTCTGTTTCTCTATATGAGAAATTAATTTGAAATGATTAGCAACACGATCGACATGATCAAATCGACAGCTTACATCAATACATTAACATAAAAATGTTTCCTTTAAATGTTAACAGACCAGAGTATGAAATGTTCTGACTGGTTATTTTTCAATTTGGATTATATTAGTTCCTTTAATTTAATTGATAAGGTTTAAACCAAGTGAAAATCCTAAATTTACCAAAAAAATCCATTTTCATTTTCATACTATATTGGTTTATAGCTAACTTTCTTAAAAGAATTTCTAGTTAAACTGTGACAGAAATCAACTTATCCTGTTCAAAACTTCAAATGAAAGTACAATAAAATCGCCTTTTGGTTTCATTTTATTATTATTATAGTGAAGAATCAGTCGTTAAATGTCTTGATCAAAAAGAGAGTTTAAAAAAAAAATATAGATTTTTCAGATGATTAAAATACTTATTTTAAATTCAAACCAAAAATATTATTAAAAAACTATTTGCTATATAAGTGAATTATATTCATATAAAAAAAATTAACAAATAAAAATGTAAAACAAAAATCTACATTTAATCAATTTTTTATTCCCATTCTCAAAACCTTAAATCAAATATAACAAATATTTTTTTCGAAATTTCTGAAACTTACTTAGAAATGATTTATTTTAAAAATAAGTAATTAATTACGAGTTAAAATGGTTGAATTGCTTTAGGTAACGTATTGATATTTGTAATGATCATGGTTCATGTCTTATGTTTGTATGAATATCTTGAATTAACTGTAAAGAATTCATATTTTTCATAGACTCGTAGTAGAAGAAAACTTTATTTAAAATTTCTTTCACCAGACGTGATTTCTCATTTGACGAGCCTTGATAACTTACAAATATATCTGCAGAACAAATAAATGTAAAATTAGGCCTAATAGCACCCCTGGGCATTGTTTACACGCGATTAAAGCATTCGGAACGCCTCTGTGCGTGTTAAGGATTGTATAGATTCCCTACAAGTTTCCCGCTTGATTTCGTGGGATATTGTTACGGAACCCCTCCTTTACAGGCCAATAATACCTTATTGTTTCATGTTTTATGTTTTTTCCACTGTGAATAACAAGATAAAAGTATGTACCGTTTCTTACAGATATAGGTGGCGCTGCCAGTAAAGTGCACTTCCTTGATGTGGTCTATAGCCTTAACATTTTATGATGAACTTTCGATATTGTAATCGTTACAGTTCAATAGATATGCTTCAGTGCTTTATTACCAGGTTTTTGAGGAATTTGAAGATACTATTTGGAAAGAGGTAAGTAGAAAATCAAAATAATTATGTCCTTACTGTTTAAACATGAAAATTTTACTATAATTAATTAAGTTGCAATTTTTAGGTAACAATTTTCTAGAATTTTTCAATATTTCTCTCATGGTTTCAGGATACGTTTTGATTTGAGAAAAAAAAGTTGATTTTGTTTGCAGATCCCAGGATATAGTGCACAATAGGACAGGAGAATATGTCATGTATGTTTGTACGACTAGAAGATTATGACAGGGCTATTAGTTATTTTAGTGGTGATCTAACAGGTACAGTAACATATTTGTGAAAAGTGCATTTTCATTAAGTCAACCAGTTCAGAAAAGCTACTAATAATTAGAAGAGGAAAAAAGACCACAATCAATGATGAAATATGAATCATCAACCTTTAATTTACGCAAATATAATAAGAATTTTCTGAATAAGTCCCTTTTATTAAACTTAAAAATGGATAGATTATTTGCTTTAGCATAGGGTTTTTATAGCCATGTTTCGGAATAGGTATACAATGGAATGGAATATCATATATCGACAGCACATACGACACAATTACTAAAAATAAATAACATGTATAAAAAATCAGAACTATCACAATAATTTTCGTACCAAATACGAATAAGTGAGTTGTCTTTTTGAGAAAATTGATCATATAATAAGTTCAATATCCGAAATAGAAATTAAGCCACGTAATTTCTTTTTTCAAGAAAATTATATTTGATATTTTTGATACAATAAAATTAGAAATTAATAGAACTGATAAAAAAATAAAAATTTTGTAACAATCTCTTATTTAATTTTCATGATGTCTTTATATCTTTAATTCGACTTTGATTTTATTTCAATATAAATTTGCAAACAATTTGACTATTAATCAGGAAAAAACACTTTCCTAAAAGATATGATTAAAAAAATTAAAATTTCAATTGAGGAAACTGAAGATTTGGGGTATTTCAAAACTGACTTATTTTTGCAAATAAATAAATAAATATATGCAGGAAAAGATTCATGTGGTATTCCATATCATCGGAACACTTAAAATAGACATTCAAGGTTTTCCTTCTATTTCGTGTGTATTGAGTGCATAGTGGCCATATATTATTAGACATTCAAGTTTTTTCCTTTTATTTCGTGTATTTGAAAAGTGCATAGTGGCTATATATTCACTAACTCCCTCTGGTGTGACCGGTCGGCAGGGGATGCTTACTCCTCGATGGCACCTGATCCCAACTCAATGTTTTGGAGGTCCGTGTTTGCTCTGCTCCTATTTTGTAATTCTTGATGGACTTTTGATCTTGAATACTCTTTGTTATCTATATATATTTTAAACAAAAAATGAAAATCAAATCGTTTTTGTAAAAATTATATGCTGAATCAATGACACAAACAAATAAAGTACCCTTAAATATACATGTCAGTGAATAACTTAGTTATAAGGATATATTTTATTCCGATTCTAGTAAATATCGAAACATGAAACACACGTGTACAAAGAAGCTAATCGTTTTCATTCTACTTGTAGCAGATTTGGACAAGCAAGAGGCAAATTTATTCAACATTTTGTAATGCAGATTTGCATTTTTGTAGTTTTTTATTCGTATGTCAAATACCTTGTATCTTTAAATAAATGCGGGTTTTGGTATTAAAGATGCGGATATACTTTGGGGAAAGACAATGGTATTACAGTAGTTTTAACATAAATATTTCGAAATGAATTTTGCAAAGGGTTTTTATTTTAACAGTACAATGTAGGTGTAAGCCATTTTATACCCTCTATTTATACCGTTATATGCAACTATCATCTCCATAAGGTATACATTTCCCTACTGGTTCGGTAGGCAGAGAATGTTCTTCCTAAGATTAATTTTTAACCCCTAGGTAGAGATCTGAAAAATAATTTGATTTTACAGGGATCTAGCTGTCTTTTTTTTTTTTATTGATAATCGTATACTTTGCAGAAATAATGATTAATTATTTTGTAAATACAGCATATTTTTCTTAAGTTATCCTTTAATACTTAAAAATTAACTACAGCTTGCTTAATTTTCAAAACATATGGTTTATGATTAAACTATTTTTGAATTCAGTTGCCAAGTTTGCAATTTGTATTGCACATAGGATTTTGGAATTTGATTACTAGAGTAACTTTTATCTTATAGCAAAAAGTTTCATGTCAATTTTGAACGAAGTCATCATATAACTTTGAATAACGCATTTGTTGTCCTTTGACGATATCTGATGACTTTCCTGAAAGTTTTTAATCATATTTCGATTAACGCAATTTGGATCTGCCTTTTCTTTTGATGATTATTCAAATTTGATTCATACGGTAGACGAACGTATTCCTATGCATTCAATTCACTTCACTGCATTTCATTAAACATTCCTTTGGTTGCTATCAAGTATTCATGACACGTTTAATTAACAGCCTGCATACAATTTAATTGTCTTAAGATGATGGAGTTTAGTGGCTTTTAATTTTTATTCCAGAGGAATTTATTTCCTACTCTTGATTTTTTGGTATAGCTATAGTGCATTCTCTCTCTGAAGTTAATTTTATTTTTATTTTTGTATAGGTCATTTCCAAGAAAGTTTGAATGGAGAAAACGGTACAGTGGTGATCATCTCCTTAAAAAAATCATCAAGCAGGGGAGGAATTTTTTCCATTCAGAATAATGTAAAATATATGCATTCATTTTTACTTCAATAGACGATGACTTTTAGTGAAAATGTTTTGCCCTACACTTCTTTCTGTCATAGTTCACCTTATTACAATCGTCTCTAGTATTGAAGCTTTTGTAACAGGAAGTGACACACCGGAAGTAAAATCCAAAGTTAATCACTGTAACATTTCCGAATGTCACCTTAGGATGGAAAAAATAAGTACAGCAAGAGTGCGCAATCGTATGGATATTCCACTTAAAGTAAACGGGAAAAGAATCAATATAGACAACAAAGATAGCTGTACAATAAATTCAACTTTACTACGAGAGAACTTAGACATGAAAGGTGGAGGCCCGGGCATTGAATTAATTTCTTTTAAATGTACCAACAACATCAGCATTCACTTTTCATCAGATCGAGAATTATTTCATCACGAGGTTTTCATCTATCTCCAAGTATTGACTTGCAGCACCTCTATGGATTCGCTTTTTGAGTTAAAAAGTAGCTTAGGAAGTATTTATTCTTTAGAACTTGACAGGACACCTAAAAAACAAACCTCTTGCAGCTATTCTTATCGTGCTCATGACGTTTGCAAAACATTGGAATCTGTGCATTCAATAAAGCTTTTAGCATCAGCATTAGATGATCAACATAATAATATTACTAGGTTGTTTAACTGCTCAGGTAAATTACCCCTAGTTAGGGAATTGACACTGAAAAACTGGCATATTGATAAGCATGCAGCATCATTTCTTGAGCATAAGTTCCCGCTTTTGCAAAATTTAGAGATTTCTTTTTCGTCGATGAAAATTCCTCCTCAATTTCCATGGGATGAAGCAAATCGAACTTTTCCTTTTAACTTCACAGAATCACCTTATACACGGAATCATTATCTACATAGCTACCATGTAGTTCTTCCAAGGCAGTTCTACAGGCGTACTCTTACTCTTAATTCCAATTCCATAACAGATCTTTCTAACTTCCACTTTAAGGGTTATATTCAGCTTCTAGATCTGTCCAATAACAAACTTCAGGTTTTAGATGAAAACTCATTTACTGGATTGCAAGGCCTTCAACATTTGAATTTGAAGAATAACAGGCTGAAAACAATTACAAACCGATCATGGAGAACCCTCACATCTTTACGCCACTTGGACCTGCACAATAATGACATAAGAGAAATACAGTCGGATTTGTTCGAATATAATCAGGAAATGGAATATTTAGATCTTTCAAACAACAAAATAAATACTATCGAAGAAAGTTGCTTTACACATCTCTCTCAATTAAAAGAACTTCATTTGGAATCCAACAATATAGTTAATCTACCAAGCATTTTTCTTCCTTTCAATCCCCTTAATTTCCAATTTTTGTATTTGGATAGAAATCCTCTGGTAGATTTCCCTTTGCCAATTGTGTACTATCGATCCCTAGAAAAAGTAAGTCTTCGGCACACAAATATTGACCTACATGAATTTAGAGATAATGACCTACTGCTGAGTATAAATTACTACGCTCTAAGAAGCAGTGTAGCTAAATGGTCGGAAGAAAATATCAAGGGAAGTAATGACAAAAGTCCCGAACGACTTAGAAAAATTGATGTTTCAGGATCTCGTGTGGAAAATGTACAGTTAGATGTGTTTAACTATGGGACAGATGCTAACGAATTCAAACATCTTATTTGGAGATTGTCTATCATTCTAAAACATTTTGAATTTATTCTTGATGGAATCAATTTACAGTGTGACTGCAGAATAAATCAGTTCAACAGGTTTGTACAGGAAGCCTTGAACAGAAAACTTTTAAGTGGCAGAGAGTATTTCTTTACTGATTGGAAATGTTCTTCTCCTTTGGAATTTAAAGACAAACCACTGGTCAGTATAAAGGAATGGGAAACATACTGTGTTACTATCGTCCCACATTGTCCACGAAACTGCACGTGTCTAAAGCGATCAGTCAGTGGTGTAATCATTGTCGACTGTCGTCAACGTGGATATTTCTCTCTACCAGATCAACTTCCTGACGGAATTCTAGACCTTTGGTTCCAGCACAATAATATCTCAGTGATTCGAAACATTGACTACTTGGACCGTATTCGCCAGCTCTATCTTTCTCACAATCAGATAGTGGAAATTGAGAATGATGCCATTGAGAATATGCATAACATTAGCCATCTTTATGTCGACTCCAACAATCTTGTAGTAATGCCTACGAGGATTCAGATCAGGGACATTACAAATATAAATATTGATAACAATCCTTTTAAATGCGATTGCAATTCTCTTTGGATGAAACACTGGTTGCTGTTGAATTCAGATTCATTCTCTGACGTCATGGGCATAACGTGCAACATCGATGATGAAAATGAAAAAGGGACAAAATTTGTTAACATTCCAGATTCTGAGTTTATTTGCTTAGATGAATACAATACATTACAGGATTTAATTATTCCGATCTCATTCAGCACATTTTCTATAACCCTGATTATAATAAGCATATGCTTTATCAACATTTTCATTTTTGAAGTAAAAGTTCTTATGTTTTTGTATTTTGGGATCCATCCCTTTGATTTAGACGACGACAAATCAAGGGAAGCTGTTGACGTCCTTGTTGTTCATGCCCCTGGATTGACAAATTGGGTGATGGAAAATATTGTGGATCCTTTAGAAGCACAGAAAACCCACTTTGTTGTTTGTGAAATGATGAGAGATTTTATACCTGGATTTTCCATTCAGGATAACTTTGAAAGCATTGTGAAAAATAGCAAGAGAATGATTTTGGTGCTCTCCCCTGAAATTCTGGGTGACCCATTGCTGAAGTTAATTTGGAGTCAGGCACAAGAAAAGATCAAGGAACTGAGATCTAACTATGTGATTATGGTATACTACAACCTTAATGCGAAGGATATCACGAATGAAGACATGTTGCGTTATGTAAAACACAATAAAACAATGACATCATCTGATCGACTTTTACGTCAGAAACTTTTGTACTGTATGCCTGTAATTTGTGAGGATACTGTAGGGGAGGATCAACGTCTACAAATTAAACATTGTGTGAAAAAGATGTATTCTGAAGAAATAGGAAAGCTAGTTTTGTTTGAACGCCATGTTTTTATTTCATATTCGATTGCCGAGATCAGATGTTTACTGGATGATATCATACCACTTCTAGAAGACAGTGGCTATATATTATGTTTACCAGACAGAGATTTCGTACCCGGAGCATCACAGGAGGAAAATATCCTCAGAGCAATAGATACCTGTCTTCACACTATATTTTTTCTGTCTTCGGATCACCTCCAGGACGAATGGTCGATTTTTACATTCAGAACTGCGTGGGAAAAATCACTTCGGAACAAGAGTAATTATCTGATAGTTATCTTAAGTGAGGATGTAGAGCTGGATGATATGGACGATGAAATCAGGTACCACGTCGAAACGCATGTTACGCTTCAAATTGGTGATGAGTGGTTTGCCACGAAACTTTTAAACTCATTAGTAGATGTTAATGCATATACACAATGCCCTCTGAATGAAAACAACCGGCAAATGGCATGTTGTCTGGACTACGATGAACAAAGTGTTACTGATAGCATGTTGTTTGGAAATCGCTGTGATGTTGCAGTAGACAGTAGAATTCAAAATGATTACAACAGAATACAAATTGAAGAAGAAACCCCTGGACGTCGAGTTATTTCTGTTGATATTCATAGAGAAAACGATGTTGAAAATATGTCTGGCATCAGATTCGATGACAACGAAGATTTTATAAATGAGGATGAGCATGAAGAAAACAATGCGACTTGCATTAGTTTCTATAGGAGAGAGAACTGTTTTCAAGAAGAGCACGAAAAATATGCTTGTAAATCAATCACTGAAGACTCTGCCAGTAATGAATTTAGATCTATGTGTGTTAACAATAATCGAGAGGGAGAAATTAACTTCAATATAAAAGAGGAGTTTCATCTTAATGTTACAGAAGATGAGGAAAATCTTTCAGACATTAAAAACGAAAATGTTGATTCAAGGCTCAATTCTAATGGTGCTTTCGGTTACAGTAAAAATTGCAGTAGGTTAAATATCCAAATGGAAATAGGTGAAAGAAATATCTATGTTTCTTCTCTATCCAAACAGGTAAACTTAAAGAATGATAGTGACGTCAGCGATTGTGACGTAAGTGATAGTGACAATAATACTGACTCCGAAAGTGATAATTAAAAAGACAGTTCTCAAAAAGCATCGGAAAAAATAGAAACATTGAATATGTTAAGATTTTTTATTTGATAAGAAACAGCAATATCATCTTTATTTAGCTGGTGCAATTAATATTTCATTTTCCCCACAAAAATGGTTTATCTATTGTTCACCAAATATTATTTATTTCCTTACTCATAATTAATTATGACTTTGTAAAATCGATTTCTAAAAGTCAGATTTCACTACGCATATGTCAATTTCATTATGCTGAATAATAGTTTATAGCTAGTTCCCTAAATTTTAAAGATGTCTGGTTTAGTGCAATTGATATCGCAAATTCCTTTGCAAATTACAACAACTTTTAGATGTATTTAATTCTATTCAAATTGTAGAGAAAGTGTTCGAGTAATTAGTATGTCTTATCTTTTGTAATAATAAAGTAGTTTATTATATTTTGCAAAAGGTTTACTTACTGTATGTTCAAACTAAAGAAAAGACAGGACATTGCACGAATAGGCATATTTTGGAGCCTTTTTTTATATACATTTTGTACTAAAGAGCATTATCATCTTATATCAAACAAATCGCTCAAAGCATTCATTTGTTTTATACAGTGTCTCATTTTACTTTACTAATAAATCATAGAAACGTCTTTTTTTCATTTTATTGTATCCGATTGCATGACTTGGTGCATCGATCACAATAGAATAAAACAAAGTATATACATAATGAATAAAATTCTCAAATATAATAATATTCCTTATGCGTAAAAAAATCCAACAAAGTTTCTAGTCTTAGACAGATGACAGTTCAGTTCTTTTGAAACATGTTTATCATTGGTAACTTTACGCACCATTGAATGGAAATATGTTCTTTATATTCAATGATATTAGGAATTCACATAAATGTCATTTTTGAATAACGCTGAAGAATTTAAGGACCGATGTTTTTGAATCAATAGAGCAATGTAGTATGATCCGTAAAACCATTTATGACTGAAAAAGGTATAGCGATCATGACACACTATTCCGGGACAAATGATATTTGATTCACTATTTGACAAGTAACTGACAATGACCATTTAATCTACATATGTAATTAAAGAGAAATACAATCGTTCAATTGAGATTGTGGTTTTCATCATTAAATATTTTTCAATTTAGATTTAAAATTTGCCTTTGATCAAAAACAAATTTCCTGATTAATTTTCGTTGTGGTACATTTTATCTTGATCTTAGCATTTCTGTTATCCGATACCTCTACACATTACCAACAATTTCCTAGCATTAGTAAAATTCAATTTTTTGGTGCCATTATTTTTATTTTTAACAGTCAGCTAGTATAAAGTGTTATGAAATATGAAGATAACAGTCAGTACTCATATCAAGGTCCATTTAAACAATAAAAAGTGAGAGCATAGCAAACGTGTACATCCATAGTATTAGAGGTGGGATCAGTCGGCAATACGAAGTGAAATTCCCTTAGCGACCTGTTACACACGCCGTGTTCTCCTTGTAATAATCGTGAAAATGAAAATCTTTCTAAACAGTTCTGCAATAATACATGTAGCTTTACAATTTGTATTGAAAACAACAGTCAGCATTTGACTTAATGATGACTGTGTGTTTGTTCACAATGTCTTTGTATCGACCAAACTATATAGGTTCAATTTTTAAACCTATGCACTAAATGCTATATAGAGTACTGATGAAGTCAAACATATTATCTTCATAGTCTTTTCTAAATCAAATCTAACTCTTACCGGGTAATTTTAAAATACCGAGAAAATTTACGATAAAATATTGAAATATTTATTCATTGCCTCTTTCAAATCTTGTATAGATTGAATTCGCACTTGAGAAAATTACATTTGGTTACCTCAACAACATTTTATTTAATACTACAATAAAATATTTTGAAGAACAGGAGAAATGAATGATCGAGTTATTCCTCTTTCAATTAAACAATTTACATTGGTACTAGGGAATTAAAGCATTTAGTATGAGTTGTTAAAAAAAACATAGGAGAGGACTTTGGTATCGATAGATTATAAACATCACACCTCTGATACAGGTGTATCGTACCATTACTGGTAGGGTTCATATGTCAGCTTTTTTATGTTAACACTTTTGAAAGCCTGTTTTGATCGCAAATACACCGACCTTACCCACATTTATGTTCAAAATAAACTGCTTGAGGATGCTAAAATCTATAAATCAAATTTTAAGATTCATATACAGTTATTTCATGGTTTAAAAATTCTAATAAATTAAAAAAATAGATACCTGAAAAATTATTTTTAAAAAGCAACCACAAAACATTTTCCCTTCACTAATGGTCCGATATCAACAACACGTTCAAACATGTCATAAACACAGCTTACTTTTATATTTTGTTTTGATTTTGATGCTGCCATAAACTTGATTTAATCTCTTGTTTGTGCATTAATTTTGTATGTATTGAAATCTTAAATTAACAGTTAACAGGGTAAAATAGACAACTTGATGATGCATTATCTAGGAAAAAAGATCAAAAATACCTCTAAAATGTAATTATTTCGTTCATTTTCATCTAATAAAGAAGAAAAAATTAACGAACATTGGTCAATAAAAAGAAAATCTACAAACTATAAAAATGTATGAACATGGCAGACAAAGACATCTCGTAATATCCTTCAGTTGTCTTTTTGACTTTTCTAATTTACTAATGAACACAAGTGCGTGTTACGGTCCTTAATATTTGCAAACTGCTCAAAATAATATTTATTTTTTAGAGTTATTTCTCTTAGAACATTATCTTAATAGATAGGCGTGTAAATATTTCTGAGAAATAAAGTGGAAAATTACCCTTAATTTGAAGCTCCTTGTGTGTTGAAATCATAAGTAATGTAAATTTCATTTTTTTTTTCATATAACAGAGAGGAAAGACTATTTTTTGTCTCCAACAGAAGCAATAATAAAATAAAAGAATGCTACATTTATGCAAATTGGAATAAATCTTTGTTGACCTTGATTGAATTATTTTTTCAAGTTTAATTACAAGATAAACAAGTCAAAGAAATCAAGTTAAAATTGAAAAAAAAACTTGATTTTTAGAATTCTTACGGTTATTTAGAATTAATAAATTTTGAAAAATTAAAACAAAACAAAACAAATACTTTTTGATTTTTTTACCTGCAAATATCTACGCTCCATTAAATTTAAAGACTTTATTATAGATCTATTCGACATACATTTTCTATCTACTCACGACATTTTATACATCCATTCCCATTGTATGCTACTCAAGTAATCCTTTATTATCTAGAGATGCTGTGAAATCACAAATTTTCGTGGTTGTTTAATTTTTCGGGGTGCGTAGAGACCCACGAGTTCATGTCCACCACGAAATGTTTTTCCTCAAACCACGAAATTTTTACTACACGAAAATATGTGATTTTACAGTACGTTATTTCTGCTATCACAAGCATATTTCGTCTGTCCTTGGTTGTTTTCAAGTAAGCTTAAATGCACGCAAGCCTTTATTGACGCCAGGTATATTTGGTTTCTTTCAATCCCACAAGTTTTCAGATTTCTGATGTGAATATGGCCGGTGAGGGGTGCTTAGTCTCCCACCTCTGATGTATTTGAGGTCCGTGTTTGCTCCTTGTCATGATCGGAAAATAACGGAAAATACGGCAGTATAGTATATACTACTAAGTCAAATGTAGACTGATTTTTTTCTGGAAAAAAAGGGTTAAGACAGCATTTTTTATTGATTTGGATTTTTTCAGTTGTCCAATCATAAAAAGGGTAATTAGGTTGATGGGGCTTACAACCTATATTATTATAATATTGAAGATCAAAACTCCTCAAAAGAAGTTAGAGAAATATGATCTTAAAACATAGATGTATACAAGTACATGAAGTTCAGTTCGATTTTTAAAAAAGAAATCAAGGTACAAATTATATGTAGTCCTGTCTTTGCATGTGAAGCACAAATAAAAAAGATAATATGAACATGGAAAGGATGGTAAACAGATATTGATCAAAAATATCTACAAACAGTACTTATTTGAGAACACGCGAATTACAAAAGGATCATAACAAGGTTCATAATATGAATGGTAGCTAATGACAATGGTAAAAAATTCTATTGTCCAGCTAGATTTGCTTAGGATCATCATTTTACAGGACCGTATTTGTTTCATAAATTTTGAAAGCGAATACCTGATAAAATTGCTTATTTCCTTTTTATTCTTTTTCGCGAAGTATTCTTTTGTTCAGGAAACGGAAGCATATGAAAATAAATATGTCTACAGCAAGAAAACAATCACATGATTATCTTCAATTCTAATATTTACAATAACTAAATAAAACACGCATAGAAATAATTTTCCCCCTTTAAATCTGTCAATAGCTGTGTTTCTCATTTATATCAATAAAACGTGTTTGGCAGGAGTTCATTATCGACATTAAATACATCTTAAAGATATATGGGTTTATATTAATGGCCAATGCGACCTGATGAAAACATCTGTATCTACGATGTTTACAGAGGAACAGACAGATGTAAATATTCAATGTTAACCACAATCTTGAGTCTCGATCAAATGATTGGTCAAGTCGGGGAAAAATTCAATGTAACCACAAAAAGTATGAATGGAAAGATTATCAATTTTTATTAGACCAACTATGGGTGTGTCCTTACGATGATTTTGTTTCTATGTACAACATGTTTGACAACTTTCATGAAAGGACATGCGACATAATTACTCTACTGATTTCAACACATCTCATTGATAATTCAAATATAAATTTGATGAAGAAGTTTCAGAATTTTAGATTTAAAGGGCAACAGTCAAATTTTCAAACAGCTTCTAATGAAATTAGAAAATATACATAAAACTTAATTATCAGTCGTTATCAGTAATTATTTAGTAGCTAATTATAAGATAAATTACTAATCCGGGGTCTTGATTATGATAATGTGTGCTTGATCCTGCAAATAGAATTAGTTGAAAAAACATTTTTGAGAGATGCACTTTAATTCATTTCAACCCAAATTAATATAAAACTCCGTTATTACACAATTTATGCAAGTTCCAGGTGACATTTTACATTGCTTTCAAAGCAATTTCTTATTTCCTTTTGCATTTTTTCTAGTTTCTTATATAATCTGAACGTCATCATTCTTTATATATAATATTTTCGTATAGAATTTATTTTCACTTTCGATGTGGTCAAAATGACTTGTTGTATTTAACCTTTCGATCAGTACCTTTCCAAATCGCCTTATTGCATTATCCTTCGCTGACATGTCTTATTGTAATCTGCTGCTTACATGTAATTATAAATAACAGATTCTCCTTCTCAATTGTTAATAATAAAAATGTTTTCTTTCTCTATTCCTAGAAAAGAATACTTCCTCAATATTAGTGTGTGGTAAAGGAAATAGGCGTTCAGTTACAGCATTTTGTAAAACAAGGAGGTCATTCTTCCAAACGTTATTACAACCTTTATAATAAGTGTAGCTTGACAAAGCATTACAAGCAGAAAGAGAAAATCTTGACGATAAAATAATGTAATCAATGACGTAGATAGAAGATTTATCACCAACTTGAAGGTGTTCAACATTTACTTTCATGTAGTAAACTTCTTTACGACCATATAATAAAAAGTCTATAAAATAGGTCGCCTTGATGAGCTAAGGACTGAATAATGGTATACATATCCAATTATTTATTGAAGAGGACTATGCTAATTGTATTCAGGGCAAAAGATAGCTTTTTATTTGTTGACACTTTGTTTGTGACGTCGCTTTAGAAATAAGCAAACGATTGTAAATATAAGAAATAATACACCGAATAGGATACCGTGGGATGAAGCAACGAATCAAATACTTTATTTCATCATCAAAATTGGGGAATTCGTATCGAAGATTTCTATCCAATATATTTTGCCAATCTTTAAGATTTGCCATATAAATACAAAGGCTAATCTAAATTACACTAATCTAATATCTAACCCTTGCTTTAGTACACTGGTAAGTTTCTCATACAACTCTTACACTAATTTAATTCAGTATTAGCACCTACTCTGTTTCCATTGAAAAGGCTCATAGTTTAAACACTATGCATTTATACATGCATTTGGAAGTTTACATCTTTGATCGCTATTCAAGGACAACTTGGCGATAACTGTGCTGCAATTTTACCATAAAGAATTTTGAGGTGACAATATATGAATTATTCATAAATTGTGGTAACAATATTTTGTAACACACAGATTTGGTGCTGTACAGGTGTGCTTTGTGTTTACAATGAAATCGGAAATATATATCTAATATAAAATTTATCTAAATTGTTGGTGATAAATTGAAATTGATTTAATTTCTCTTGCATTGCATTAAAAATTTAGAATCTTTATTGCAACATGAAGATTGCATCAAAACAAAAATAAATTATTTTTGCTTGTTTTATTTAGAAAACATCGCAAAACAACTATTATTATAAAGAATAAGGGTAATGCTAAAGCATCTGAACTTTTGATTATTTATTAAAGTACATTAATATTTATCCTCATTTCGAACTTCTTCAATATTTCTTTTTCGTTCTTTTTTCTTTTTTTTAAACATTTTTCTTTTAGTTTGAAGGCTCTGACAAAAAATGTCTGATTTTCATTATGCCTGAAAGTGTAATATTTTAAAAATATTTCTATTGATTACCTTCACAGTGACCATTGTTTTGTAAAAACCCTCTCTTGCCTTCAACCATTTGAATTTCTTTAAGGAAATGGTTTTTTTCTGTTTTTTCATGAATGATGCACTTTAAAATTTGAAGGCAAAAGTCTGAAAAAATCTTAAAAGGAATAATGTTTTTGACTGCACCCAAAAACTTTTGTTGAAGTGCAAATATTAATATTCATAGATTTTTCCCCCTACTTTTTTTAGTAATGATATGTGAAATTACAGGACAGTTGTCAAACAAATCTCTTTTTGAATGATTTAAACAGCAAATAACTTCCAAAAAATAAAGAAGTAAATACAACCTATAGAAAATTATCTGGGTAATTACAGACTTACCAGGTTATTACATTATTCTTATTGGCTCTCCTGATAAAATAGGGCAACAGCGATCATTATTCAGAGTCAAATGTGAAATCAGACAATTACTATTAAGGACTAGAACAATTACGGACCTCTCCAACATCAGATGTTGGATCAGGTGCCATGAAGGAGTGAGCATCCCCTCCAAATCGGTCACACCAACCGTGTGCTTCTTTTCATGATCGAGAAATAACAAAAATAAACAAAAAAAAAAACATTGACAATGCAGGATGTAGATGAATGTGATCTGACAATGACTCAGTACCTTAAAAACGTCAACCAGGCTTTAACTTTATGGTAGATTGTTTTTGCTTTTGAAATTTTTTTTATCAAGTAGTTTGTTTTAATCATATCTATTACATGTATTTGTATTTATAATAACTTTGATAATATATATTATACTTGTTTATAATAACATAGCATAACAAAACTTATTCGGATTCTGTTGTTGTCTTGCAAGCAGGTAAGATAAAAAGAATCGTGATTTTTTTTTTTTTTTGGTTACTCAAACGAAAAGAACATGTACTATCGACTAAACCGTGTTAAAAAATTAGCTCACATAAGCGATTTTTCATCAAAACTTTTACACTTTTATGAATGTAGGTCACCGAAAAAAGCGTCTAGAAAGTTATTTATGGCACGCCAAATTCACAAAAATGAGATAAACCTAGTTTCACAATTGATAAACTAGGTTTATCGACTGTAAACTATAGTTTACAAACCGTAAACTATAGTTAACGATTTGTTAAGTATAGTTTTCATCTGTAAAACTATATTTAACGGTTGTTAACTATAGTTTACGAATGTTAATCTAAGTTTATCTGTCTGTAATAAGCGATAACAATAGATTTTGTTGATAAACATAGATTCACGTTGGTAAACTATAGTTTACAATCGTAAACTATAGTAAAGAGTTGTTAATCATAGTTTCACAAATCGTGAAACTATATTTATCAGATCGTTAACTATAGTTAAGGGTTTGTAAACTATAGTTTACAAATCGTGAAACTGTATTTATCAGATAATCTATGTTTTGCAATCGCAAATGATTGTTTTCGGTGTTAAGTATAGTTTACGGTTGTGAAACATAGATTTTCGCGTTAACTATGGTTTACAGATGTAAAATATAGATTAACGTTGTTAACTATAGTTTACAGTCCGTAAACTATAGTTTACAACCGATAAACCTAGTTTTTCGACTGTGAAACTATGTTTTGCTCATTTATGTGGATTTGGCGTGCCATAGTTATTGTACAGAAGTCTCCTTTTCTCATTAACTGGCGTCAGGCGGATGAGCTGAATTGTCATTTTTCATTTCTATGCATTATCTTATTCCATTACTCCTATAATGTTCATTCTTTGACTTTTGGTTTTTTTTTCTGGTAAGTTTGATCAAACATCTGACAAAAAATAAATTATATCAACATGTCCAATTCTCGATGTGAAGGTACAAAAAATAACGAGTCTAAATGTATATGTCTTCTATTATTAGCTAAAGAAAACACGCATATGCTCTTCATTTGGCCTAAATTTTGAAAAAGCACAGTGCATCATGTTCTCCCAAGTTTCCGTATAGTATGATATAGGAGACATTATAATTAATTTCTTAAGGAATATAAATTTGTTTCAAAATGAAAAATGAAGCTTGGAGAAAATTAACGCCTCCACCAAAATCTACATTTTGTCGTTTTTTCTTCTTTTCCTAAATAGCAATTAGGTAAGTGAAAGCATATCTCATTTTTTTTTGCTTCATATCTAACCTTAAATTTTGACTTGATTTTGATTTCTGTCTACGTTTTAAGTTAAACTCTCAGTAATTATATCTAGCAGTCGTAAGTTATCTTTATCAACATGGAGCAATGAAATTTTTATTATGTTCTCCTCTATGGCAGCTAATTCTAGCTTTGATGTTTTGGAGGCCAGTTTTTGCTCTGCTCCCATTTTGTATTGTTTTATGGACTTCTTGAATACTGTTCGTTATCTCCATATCTTTCATTCTGCAATATAAACATAAAGGCTAAAATTATAAATAATATTAGTATATTATGATTTATGTACTAATTATTTGAAGAATGAAAGGATTTATGAAATAAAACATTCATTCTTGTACAGAGATGAATTTTCAAGGTCAACCTGTGACTTTGTATGTCATCGTCAATTTAATGCAATTAATATGTATAGAATAAATGATTGAATATCTGTAAAATCTTTAAATTTGAGAGCAAATACAATCTATCATTTAGTCGAAAGATGTCTGAAGTTTTAAATAAAAATTGTTAGTTAGGTCGTTATTTATTTTCTGAATTGCCTGTGGATTTTTACATTTGCTCGATAATTTCAGGGAGCATACTGCGGGATAGACCCTTTGACAAGCGATGCTAGTTTTTAATTAATTCCTCTTCGTTATCTTGATATCTTATCACAATTACTGTTAAAATGTTTCTTGAAGACTTTCATCTCTATTTTTAAAGATAGATATTTTTTGTTAAATTTTCAAAAGTGCGCATATTTTCTGCAGGATGTTTTGATTTTGTGGAGGCCCTTGTTTGCTCTGCTCCAATTTTGATTTGTATATTGGACTTCTGAGCTTGAAAACTGTTTGTTTTTTCCATATATTTCACAGAATTGCATCAGATCACATTTACCTTCAATGACAAGGACAACAAAATATTTATGATTTTCACTATCCTTGGCATGTGTTAGGTTAAGTTTTTTAACGTTTAAAATTTTTTATCTGCAGTTTTTTTTAACTTGAAATAAAAATCAAATTTAAATGAAAAAAATATAAAGATTATTTAATACAGGATATATAATTAAACATAAGTTGACCCATGATTCGCTTTTAACGGTCATAAATCACTATCTACATGGTTCATGATGGATGATCAAGACAAAGCATTATCGACATAAGTGAACCAACAGTCGCCCCTACTACCGTGTAATATATCATTCATGAATTCATTAAATCTCCAATCGGACCAGTTTAACATATACATCTTAACCAAGTTTTAACAGTTAATATTTACTAAATATGTACATAATTATTCCGTTACAGGAAGCAACCGAGAAGATTTCACCACTTGACTTGCTGTTCGGTCGCTGATAGGTCCATTTGAACATGTGCTTTACAATATAACCAACCATATCAAAATTTCAAGCAGAATTTGGACGTGTGATCGACATATCGAAAAGTTGTTAATTTACACTGTTTAATCGAGAAACAGCTTATTCGCAAAAAGTCTTATTGTGAACTGCTGATATTTCTTAACGTTTGCCAGCAACATAAAAAGGACGAAAACATTCTGGTTTTGATAAAATGGATTTCTTCAGTATGCATTTAAATTTGAAATTTTTTCTGCATCTCTGCATTTTGGCTGTTCATGTCTCTATCGCTAACATTGTGACAAGGTGTAGCATCCCAAAATGCATTTCAGCCAAAGTTTCCTCTGCTTCCCACAATGTTATGAAAATGAACAACAAACCCCTGAAAACAAATGTGACAGGGTTTTATCTTGTTCCCCCGGTATCAAACGAGTGCTACTTCAGAACTTCAGATATAATGGAAAGTTATCACTTCGATGGAAACCAAATGGTCGGTGTTTTGGTTTTACGGTGTACTTCAAGAGCTATAATTCATCTCGTACCCGATAATCGGCCCAAGTTTCCAAATGTGATTTTTCAAATTCAGATAGATAAATGCCTTCTCACTACAGATAGTTTGAACGCCATCAGTCAGCGGGTGAAAATCAATCATTTTTCGTTTATTGACACATACCCTTTGGTGAGCTACTCCTACTGTGATGGATCTAGTGTTGTCAGTGCAGACTGTAGATTTTGGAGTTCTGCTACAGCTATCGGTATTATTGTTCCGCAGGGCGTAAATTCCATCAACATTTCAAGACTTTTCCAGTGTAACGGAACGTTTCCTAACGTTAAACAATTACTTTTTAGAAGGTTGGACTTAAATCAGGATCTTTTCTACCTCAAAAACAAATTTCCAAACTTACAAGATTTGCAAATATCGGATTCCTCTCTCAAGGTTCCACCTCAATTTCCTTGGAATAATGAAACCTACAGATTTAACAATAATATGTCGTATTCAGAGGCAGGATTCTACGACTCCGCATCAGTATTCAACATTGAAATAGAACCAAACATCTGGAAACGTGTGCTGAATTTGAACTCAAATAACATACAGGTTCTAACTAACTTTATGTTTGAAGGACATTTAGACATGTTAAAACTTTCTAGAAATGGACTGTATTCTGTCGGACCATTCACTTTCTCTAGAGTACAAGGTCTACAGCATCTTGATCTCAGCGAGAACTTATTATCAGACATTCCTTCCAATGCTTTTCGCGGCCTCACACGCCTCAGGCACATAAATCTCCATGCCAATCTCCTGTCCATTATCTCTGATGACATGTTTTATGATAATACAGAGCTTGTCTACCTTGATCTTTCAAATAACAGCATAGCAATAATTGGGTCAAACGCTTTCTCAAGATTACGACATCTAGAAGACCTAAGGCTTGAATATAATCGCATTGTAACAATCAGTTACTCCATGTTCCCAGCTTATTCCGTATCATTCGAGTCTTTGACACTCGATGGTAATCCACTGAGAGAATTACCGGATGCTATTTTCTATTTCAAAACTCTATACGATGTGAGTCTCCGGTATACTAACATAGACTTCCAGAATTTTACCCAGATGTTACTTAATTTAGATTTTTCTCTCCTGGCAGAAGGAAACGCGCAAGGACAAACGACAACAGAAAATGAATTGCTTACAAGATCACCCCGAAAGTTGAAAAGGATTGATCTAACCGGAAGTAAAATTAATAATCTCCATTTGAAGTATTTCGGAACTGATGTTTCTACTAGAAATGCTGCTATTTTAAAAATGAAGCTCCTCATGCTGCTGAAATATTTTCATCTGATTCTAACTGATAATCCAATCAACTGTGATTGTAAAATCAATCACTTGACCAGATTTATAAAAAATGCCTTAGAAAATGGTTTTCTTCGAGGAAATGAATATTTCTTTAACGACTGGAAGTGTTCGTATCCACAGGAACTAAGATATACACCGGTAACACAAGTTCCGGAAGCGGAAACCTATTGTCCAAAAGACATAGCTAATTGCCCAGTTGGGTGCTCTTGTTACGAACGATCTGTTAGCGGCGTCACTATTGTTGATTGTCGAAATGTTGGGCTGAGGGAACTCCCTAGATCACTTCCGGAGGGAATCTTAGATTTGTGGTTTCAGAACAATAACATTTCTACTCTTACAAGTGAGGAATATCTTCCAAGAACGCGACAACTTTTACTAACAGGAAATAAAAACATTAGAATTAATACGAATTTACTTCGAAATCTTCACCTCTTAAAACTTACCACATAATGATTTGTTTTTACTTTTTTGAGCTTTCTTAAACGGGTAACACTATCATTAAAATACCATGTTTCATTTATGAGAGATATGTTAATATATGATTTGTATGTTTATGGTTTACAATTGTATGTGAGTTTGTTTGAAGAAATGATGTATGTAAAAAGATTACTCAACAACTACTATTTTTTTTTGCTTTACTTGACATTTTCATGTTCTCATGACCGTATTTGATATATTTTTATATCTATTTCAGGTATACATTTTGTAAACAAGATGTGTTTTTATTTAAGCATATTTGTGTATCCTAGAATGACAATTTGATAAATTTTTTAACTTATTTTACAGATTTTGTTTCTTTTATTTTGACGCTTGCCAGATTGGAAAGATGGACAAATCATCGTAGAAATAGCATAAGTACTAATTCATAATGACGACCAAAAAATTTCAAAAACATTTGCTTAATAATCATGATTGCAACTGGACATATCAGTGCGTCATGTTTTGACTAACATGTTTTATACTACTTTTCATTGACGACGAATGTTTCCGCTATTTCTCGATCACAAGGTGAATAGCGGATTGACCAGTCGGCAGAGGATGCTCACTCCTCCTTGGCACCTGATCCCACCTCTGATGTTTTGGAGGTCCGTGTTTGCTCTGGTCCTATTTTGTATTGTTGTAAAAACTTAAAAGCTTGAATACTGTTAGTTATCTCCAAATTATTCATTTAAATTACATTTCTTCCTTTTCTTGCTAATTTTGGATAAATTCCGTCTTTCTGATTATTTTATATGCCTTCCGGCAGGTGTGTCCAATAGACAAAACTCAGTCTTTGCAGTAAATAGAAGGTGCTTACTCCATAAAGGCACCTGATCCAACGTCAAAAAATTTCCAGCTGTCCATGTTTCAAGCCGTGCTCACAAATATGTAACATTTGAAATACCTATAAGAGTGATCTATGATCGATTTATTAACCCTTTCCTATTAAAAAAAATTGAAATATAAGGGACGGTTATTCGATCAAAATCGATGGTTATCGGTTAGGAACGTTGTAATCTGTTAGTCAGAAAAATATTTTTGATGTGAATTTGATCAGAATTTTCTAAACATTCAATTAAAAACACCCAAAAAATATCTGAATGTTAGTATCTACCCAATTAACTTAAACTGATTGGAAAATAATCAAGGCTTTGCATATATTGTAGGGACATTTGGTCGGTCTTTGTGATGAACAGAAAGTCCTTACCCCGCAAGTCTAGTTTGTTTTTAATGATTTCGATTGTATGATCATTGATTACAGTGAACTAACTATAAAGTGTTCCTTATCTAACCTCTTCTATTCTTTGAAGATACCCGTTTAGTTATATTTCAAACGAACAACGCGCATTAAGCGGTAGTTCAGACTAATTTTTAATATTTGTGGAAAACTCGAATAAGCTTGAAGATTTTTTGAATGTGAAACCTCGGGTATATTTCCTCCGTTTTTTTTTTCTTTTTTTTCAAATAAAAATATAATAACATCCAGTACAATCTGATCAAGAAAAAAAAATAATAATGCTACATGTATAACATCCTAATAACCTTCTTAATCTGCGCAGAGCTTACACTGATACTTTTGCAGATGACCAGTGGCAAAGTATGCAAATATCTGTCTTTCATTTCATTTAAAAAGCAGCTGTCTTTGATGTTAACAGTCATGGTTAAGTCTTGGGTGTAATATGAAAAGAAATCGTGTGAAATGGTTGCATAAAGTAACAAAATGTAAGCTAACTTCAATGGGTGTGATCGGTCGAAAGGAGATAATCATAGCTTTTTCCCCCCTGATCCAACATCTTATGTTTTGAAGGTCCCTATATGCTTCAAGAGTACTGTACAACTATATATTCAAGAAGTGGTGTAAATCAGATGTGGATACTTAAAAATTCTAAAGAACTTTTGGACAATTTGAAATCACAAGACTTTACAAAAATCAACAGCATAAAAACTTACGACATTTCAACTTTATAAACAACAATTCCGCACGACAAATCAAAATCCAGGCTTTTTTATATCATTGACAGCTGCTTCTTCAACAAAAATGGAACTCGTAAGTTTACTTACCTTGTCATTGGTCATTTGAAAAATTATTTTGTTAAAACAGATTCTGATTGCACACATAAGTACTCTGAAGTTGACATCAAGAAGATGCTTGAGTTTCTGATTGACAATATCTATGTGGTTTTTGGAGACCAGGTATTCCAACAATCTATTGGAATTCCCATGGGTACAAATTGCGCTCCGTTATTAGCAGACTTATTTTTATATTCATATGAAGCAGAATTTATGCAAAATCTTTTGCGTGAAAAGAAAAAACACTTGCTGTGGCCTTCAACTCGACATTTAGATATATCGACGACGTATTGTCAATTAATAATGATAATTTCCATTCCTACGTCGACACGATATATCCTGGTGAGCTTGAGATAAAAGATACCACAGAGTCCGACGCTTCTGCTTCATACTTGGATATTTTACTTGAAAAAGACACAAATGGTAATCTAACACCCAAGCTATATGATAAAGGTGATGACTTTAACTTTTCTATCGTCAACTTCCCTTACTTATGCAGCAATATACCTTCATCACCTGCATACGGAGTATTTATATCTCAGTTGATTCGATACGCAAGAGCATGTTCTACGTATGAACAATTTCTTAAACGAGGTAAATTATTGACAAGCAAGTTGATGAAACAAGAATATCAACAGTCTCGTTTAAAGTCATCATTTCGTAAATTCTATGGTCGATACAATGACTTTGTCAGCAAATACAATTTATCATTGAATGAAATGCTGACTGACGTTTTTCATACCAATTGTTAGTCCATTATTCATACACTGAATTGACCACGGATTTTTTCCGTTATTTCCTGATTATGACAACGAGCACACGGCGGGTGTGACCGGTCGGCAGGGGATGCTCACTCCTCCATGGCACCTGATCCCACCTCTGATGTTTCGGAGGTCCGTGTTTGCTCTGCTCTTATTTTGTATATTTGTTTAATGGACGTTGAGATTGAATACTGTTCGTTATTTCCATATCCTTCCTTGCTCTAGGTTTGTATTGATAAAAATGCATACGGGATTTGACCTTGAATACTTTTTTGTTTTCTCCACATTCTATTTGTCTATCATTCCCAGACTTTAACATAAAGTTGTCAATCTCTGTGATATCTTGGTTACTGTATACAAGTTGAGTCTAATGTATCATTGTTTTATCAAACAACTATGGAGTAAAGCATGAATTTTTATAAAATCCAAATTTTAATGTGGACAAAGAACATTTATAAATGCATTTTGTGTCAAATTTGATACCACTTTGCTTTTTGGGTGAAGTTTTTTTTCTTATTTTTCCTTTATTTACGGTTAGGAAGACAATAAAATTCTATAAATAATGATGATTTATATAAAAAAATATAATTATACGATATTGATACTTTCAAGAAAAATGAAAAAATAATATTATTTTTGTATTGTTTGTTAAATTCTTTATACTTAGGAATCTCCATTGTTTGTGGTGGACCAATGCTCTTGAATGTCTCGGGTCAACCTTATCCAATGATTTTCAACTCCACAGAACTACGTCTACACAAATCAACAAACATTGACTAACACATTAACATTGAACCCCACGGATTAAAACTGTTAAACAGTACATCTTAATTCAATACTCGTCATTATTATTATATGTGTATTAAAATTTTAACTCTCTCTCTCTCTCTCTCTCTCTCTCTGTACTTATAGTTTACTACCAACTTTATGCATTTCTATTCTATGTTTTATTTACTCGTAAGCATTAACGCCCCCATAAACGCCCGCATACGTATCTATCTTCATCCTTTATCAATTTTTTGTTTACTTGAAAACAAATATATTTACTTCAACAAAATAGGGTAATTGTTTACCATGCTTTTACGTATTTTACTAAAAAAAAATTAAAAAATTGAAAGTGCAAAACTTAAAGAGATTCATTTCGTTTTAAAGTTTTTGTAGTTTAATGGACAGTGACCTTTATGTAAATCTTTTTTTTAACTGCGCACTGCGAAATTTATTACAAGGTGGAAATTTACAAACATTTTTTTATTTCTCACCCACATTCATCAATCATGATTAATCGTCCTCTTATTTTTAGAAGAGATTATTTAGGAAAATGTACTTATGTAGCTGCAAAAATGAAGAATTTAATAATATATTCAGAAATTTCAGGGATTTTAATTTATGTAACCAGTGGACTGTATTTTAACTCCCCCTTCAGTATATTTTCCTCAAAGATCAATTATTGTGTTGACATATGTCGACAAAAATACGATCTTATTACTGAGCAGATTTAATGATGAAAAAATGAACGAAATCAATCTTCCCCTGTTTCTCTTTATCCAAAGTTTAGACTGTAGAGATAGGTAGGCCCTGTGGTAGTAGAAATATTGACCTTAGATTAAAGGTGTATTCATTCTTGCTTTTTTAACTTATACAGTTGTTACTTTTTCCTACATTGCCGCTGGCTTTTTAGGAGGTCTTCTGTGCTTAGCTTACTATTCACATTCTACTCTTACGACCAATTCTTATTATTTTAATGGACTTATTATAAATAGCTTAAGTACTTTAATTATATTCACATTTAAAAACAGCATAGCATATTGTTTTGAATTAAACTTCCCAAAGCTTGATTCTCTTGATAAATATATTGTTTTACCATATTCCATTTTTGTGTGTTATCATTTGTAGATTATTTCTAGATGATACTGTCCGTAATTTTTACATCTTTACCTTTTTTCATTTTCTACACTTTTGTCTATTTGTATTCTTTGTGCATTTCTTAAAATGATAGGGAATTCTCCATTGAAAGTGAAAAAAAACCCCAATATCTTAAAGGTTGATCTAATAATAAATGAAATAAGTAAATCTTTTTATTATAGTCACATAAAATAAAAAGCAATCAACAGATATAAGTATTCATTCTAGCCTATCTGACCTAATGTCACTTTAAAAAAATTAACAAAAGGAACGTTTGTACGTATATATCTTTGGATTCTAGTTAGGAATCAAAAAGAGTTCACTTTAAAGAAAAATAAAAAAAAATGTGAATTGTCGAGTCGTAACACGGTTTAGTTTATTGTTAATTCATAAATTAAAATAGGCTTAGGGAAATCCGAAAATTTAGTTATTCTTTCCAAAAGTAAGATTAAAGAAATTATTTTTCTTTCGGTGTCGACTTTGATAATATAAACTCACCTTTATTCCACACATAAAAATACTCAAAAGGC